GAGAGAGAGAGAGAGAGAGAGAGAGAGAGAGAGAGAGAGAGAGAGAGGCTGTCTTTTCGCTTCCGGCTTCAAACTCACAGATAAACAGCGCTTTACTACGCGCACAGTGGTGTCGAGCAGCACACATGACTGACAACAGAAACCTCCCAAGAAACTATGTATGCAAACTGAGAGAGGACTCCACTACCATAACCTCCACAACCAGAGAGAACACATTCTCTTCTTCTATCTTCTTCCTCTGTGGAGGAGGATGGTTTTCTTTTGGTGAAAAGGTGAAGAAAAAAGCGGTCCCGCGGTAGCGTCGAAGAAGTTCGTTTATGGAAAAAGAAACACACACACACACACACACACACACACACACACACACACACGCAACCCAAGAGGAGCAGATCATACGTTTTGTTTTTTTGGTGCACGAGGAGCCGTGTCTTTGTGGGAGCCAGACACACAGACTGAGAAGAGCCATCCTCGGTTTACAGCTTTTGGTGTCTGTCTGTAATATCACTCCAGACCAATAACAGTGTCCCGGAGAAAAGCCTCGGAGAGGACGGCCCAGCGCGGAGGTAAGGTACCAGGACCTCCATCTGTGGAGGTTATTGTTTATTACACTTTAATAACACCACCTCTGCTGTAGATGGAGAGTGGTCAGGATTACAGGCCTACCCGTTCAGAATTGGAGACAATCAAACTAATTAAGTGGTTTTTAAAACATGTTATTCTTATTTTCAATTGAAAATGTACATTAAGTACACACAGAGGTATGTAGGCTTCTTGAGACTTACTTCTTAATAGATGTTTTGTGATTACAGATGCAGATGCAATCCATTCATGTTTAGCTTCTAACAACTGTATGTTACAAATCTTATCTCAAATATTGACATCCAAACAACTGAAACTCAGCTTTTTCCAGATTTTGTACACATGTGCTCTCCAGCTATACCTGAATGTTTTGTACATCACTGTTCGCTCATAAAAACACAGCTGGAGGAGACAACACACTTTGTCACACCTGGGGCTTTATTGATTATTTCACCAGTTTGCAACCAGATCCGCAATGGGACCAGCTACAGGAGCCCACTTGCTTTACATTAGCATTAGATCATTAGCATTTGGTTAGAGGTTATTTCTCGGGATGCAACTTTCATCATCGTTTAGTCTGCTGTGTATTTTCTCTATTGATCAATTAATGGTCAATAAAACCACAGATAGTAGTGAAATTTTTTTCCAAAGTCATCTCCTTTAAAAAAAATCTTCACATTGGAAAAGATGGATCTGTCAATGTTTTGCTAAAAAAAAGTACTTAAACGAATAATATTCTATTGTCAAAATAGTTGCCAATTCATTTTCGGTCAATCGGCTAATCGATAAATCAACTATTTGTTGATGCTCTAGTTATATCTAATTTTGTTTATGTGCCCCTCAAGGCTCTCTTGGGGCCGCTTTCCCTTCTGGGAACCATAAAGCATCAGGTGTGGTTCTTTGCTTTGAGTATCCCATCGTGGGTCTGTTGTGGTGGAGTAATTTAAGATCGCAATATTGATTGTGAGATAGTTTCCGGAAAACTCCATTGAAGAAATAGTGGATTAAATAGCAGACAGGACAGCATCTTTTGGGGGGCTAATTTAGGGAGTTAAATACCTGACAAATAAAGTTACATTATAATGATGCAAAAAGTCATGTAGAAAGCCAACATTACCACAGATTAGTCCTGAGAGATATAAACTGGATTTCAATAGCATAAACAGTATGGCAAAGTATAGGGCCGGGTGGTAATTCAATATGATCATTTATCATCTTTACTGGGATGAAATGTCCTATGTTGAGATATGGTGATACACAATTACATTGTTGATAATAACAAGCACATACTAACTGAAAGTTATTTTTGTTTTGCACTAAAGTTCTCATTAAAATAGGAAAATACTTACATTTATCACAGAAGTATGCAAAAAAACATGTGGTTATTTCATATAGACTATTTAATTATACAATTACCAGAAAACATGCTATATTGTGATATCAAATTACCTATACTGTGATAGAAAACTTTATAAAAATATCTGACTCATTGTTATATTGTCATACTGCCATCTGCGTTTGAATTTCAAGGATCTGTCAGCCTCAGCATCTTTAAAACCTTTTCTCCGCTGCGTTGCGCTCAGACGGCTGTGCGTAGGTTTAGTGCCCACTTGTGTAGGCGAGTGGACAGTTTGAATACTCAAGCAGTCCCACTCAATCTGACATTAGGCCGCGCTGAAACACCGACAGCGTTCAGAAGGTATACGTGCGCTTAAAACACACTCATCAACACCGGTGTCTGTTACCTTTTAGAGTGCTAAATGCTGTATTTCTATAATATCATTATGGCAAATAAGCCATAAGTCATCTCCAGAGCCGTGATTTGCTTCACTACCCCGCTTCATGGTTGTTGTTAATTGGTGCTAATATGACATCTGAAATAGTTTGTCATGTCAACACGGTGCTCATGAATACCCGAGCGTATTTTCTGCTGACACATGTATCTTTTTGGACATATTATGTGTGAGAGAGGTGGAGACAAGTGGGCGTCAGAGAGGGATCCAGGAGACATCATGTGTTTTATAAAGGCCTTTTTCTGCTGAATGTTTTCATCCTGACAAATGTACTGCATTTGTTTTAAGCAGGTTAGGATGTGAATTTTTTCCAGTTTTGTACCCTTTCATACTTTCATATCCAAAACTTTGACGATCCCCCGAGCACAGAATTCAGAGAAGTCGAGCCTGAGCTGAGAAAAAGAAAAAGTGTTTGGGATGCAGCTAACCATGTTCAACATGCACTGTGATATGTGTTCCCGGTGCCCAGTGCTGCTGCTTCATTACAGCCGTTTCACTGAAAGTAAATCCGCTACTTCTGCATGAAAGAGTCAGAATAGACAACGGAACCAAAATAGCCGTGAACACCTAGTTCCCTCCTCGCTCCTCTGTCTTTCTCTCTTGGTCCTTGTGCTGCACTGTGTCCTTCCACCCCCCCCCCCCCTCTCTCATTTGATCTACTCTGAGGCCTGACTCGTGTTGTTCTCACTGAAACATAGGGGATGTAAGTGTAGTAAACTACTCAAGAGAGAAGCCATCAAGATTGTTTCCTGCCTCTCTCTAACTGCGTCACTCCCCAACAAGGAAATCCCTTGTTTACCCTCCAGTTCATGACCTGTCTTTACTTATCTGGAATCAAAAGCACACCCCCAGGGCAGTTTTTGGCAGCTCAGCACATGATGTCAACAATACCTGTATGATTGAATGAGCCCAAGAACAGCTTTCCTCTTCCAGATGTCCTGGAAGACAGAAGTGATCACATTGTACGAAAAATGTCAAAAGTGTTTCTGTTCTCTGCAAAAACACACACATCCCGTTTAAGATGAGAGAGAACTTTGTTCATGAAGGGAAAAATTACTTAATATTTACTCTAATTTCTCATCAATTTCTGTGTAAAACGATCACTTGGCATTTGAAATACATAAAGGGAAAAAAAAGATTTGCCTGTAGTCCAGACACCAGTAATGACCGCTCATGCTTATCTCACATGTTATACAAAGCAGACTGTAAGTCAGCCGGCTCTGGGTCATCACTCGTCTGTCTCAATCAAATACGAGGTGCTGGAGTTGTGGACATCGCTGCATTTGGCATTTTTTAAGCTTGAAAATGCTAATAAGTTGAAACACATTTGGCAAATTTGAATCCGTTGTGAAATTGGGCATTTCTGCAAATTCGACTCCAGTGAAGCTTATTTGCATAGCTCATAGTCAAGGAGATTCCTACAGCTGAACTGTTGCCTTTCCTCCATGTTTTTCCCACTTGCAGGCTCTCCTTCTCCTTCTGTGTTTAAATCTGCTGCCACTTTTTGATCTGTTTGCCTCTCTCTCTCTCTCTCTCTCTCTCTCTCTCTCTCTCTCTCTCTCTCTAATCCCCCCTTTCTGCATGCGTCACCATATCTCCATCTTTTCTGCCCTTTTTCCGCGCGCCGCCCTCATTTTCTCCCTGAAAGAATGCCACTTTAAAGAAGCGAATTTCAAACAAACGATCGAGTTGAGCGAAATATCGTCGCAGTTTTTCGTCGGGGCTGAACTTTGGCCATCGTGTCGCTGCTCCTTTGAGAACAAAGAGGAGTTGGGCTCAGCTATGAAAAGGTTCCTACAGTTAAATGTGTGAAACTCTCGAAGACATTCTAGTGTAGATTTACTAGATGGAGAGGTGGATTGTAATAAAACTGCTGTTTGATTCAAATTAGCCTTCTAAAAATCTCAGCCTCTATGAAACATTAACAGAAGAAAAGGCAAATTATTCCCAGTGAGTGGAACAAGTCCATTCCTTTCACTTTCTTTCTGTCGTTTAGTTTGAATCCCAGCTGGAACAATGATATATTTTGTCTTGAGTTAACAACAGCACGACATGAATAATCTTCTTTGTCCATGATGACGTGGTTAGGGATGGAAAATTTAATTTCCAGTGTCTGTCCTATTTGAAACGGGGCTTTTATTTAGATGTTTCCCATACTAACCCTTTGATTATTAATAATCTAAAAGGTTAGACTCAGTAAAATGAACTTTCTCCACTTGTTTTCTTTCTCCAGCAGTGTGGAGCTGCCGACTGAATGCAGACGAAACGCTGAGCGCTGTCCTCCAGACCTCCAGACCTGCAGCTTCAGGGGACATTGTCCGATGTGTACCCAGCACTCCAAGCCCCTGGCCTGGCCGCGGGGATGGCAGCGTCTGCCCTGAACCTGAACGGCCTTGGAGTCATGAACAGGTCCGTGTTTTTGTTTCTACGGTGTCTGTCACATTTTTGTCTTTTATTGCTTTTAGAGCTCAAAAACTTGTCTGGTTGGTATTGTTGTGTTGCAGCTGGGAACCTGTTTGACCGGACGGTTAAGATTGCTTTTCATCTTTTATACATCGCAGAACAACTTAATCAGATTACCCATAGTTACCTTCCAGTCCTCGTGCTAAGCCGTGTTGCTCTGTTATGTCATACTAGCATTATGTAAGTGTTTGACATATATATATATATATATATATATATATATATAAAACCAGCTACTGAACTATATTTCTGGGTGTTTTTTGTCTGTAAAGAGGCCACAAAATGCAAAACGTATGATAGCTATAGCCTGAACACACAGAAACCAACCAACCCTCTCCTCTCCGCAGCAGTAATCAGTTTCACACCCTGCCAAGCTCCTCTAGTACCACCTCTCGATCTAGAACCAGTCCAGTCGGTCGACCTGTGCTGCCGGTTCCAGATCGGAGCGCCTACTGTCCGTTACTGGGTGGGGGAGCGCCGGGTGGAGGTCTCTACAGCCCAACCAGCCCGAAGGTAACGAAATCTGTAAACACTGATCATGTTTATTTAGATTGTTTTCTAAAAGTTCACCAAAACAAAAATGATATTTCTTTGTCAACACTGCAGTGAGTGAGTTCTTTGTAGGGCATTTACAAAAAGATTCAACTTAGTGTGAATGAAATGGCAACAAACATATAATAATAATTAATATCAAACTGATGGTAGTTACATGAGGATAGTGCCCTTTGAAGAAAGACTTTATCACTTTTGAAAGAAGAAATATCACATATATTCTCTTACAAACGATGCAGTTGAACTCGTGATTAGGTTAGAGGTTCGGTTCGTTTGTGGTTTGAACCAACTGCAGGATTTTATGATAGTGGACATGTGATTTAAGCATGACTACAAAAGAACAACAAGTACATCCATCTGCTGATTGTGAAATCTGCAATCTCATAATTGATCTGTGTTTAATGCCATGTGTATAAGCGCATCAGCGTTGGTATTTTCCCTGAGTCAAAGGCTGTTGTGTGTGACAGCGATCCCTACAACTCGTGCACATGTCATCTGGGAGCCCACAAAGGTTCTTTTGTACAGCCCTGTCTCTACTAGTATTCATCATAACATGCAGTCTAATAATATAAAAAATGTTTATAATCAGTTATTAATCAAAGAGCATGAATGCACATATCAGAAGCATTAAAGTGCTGTCTGTCGTTACAACTTGATTTCCAACTTCAAGTAAAAACAGACAGGAAACAGACACATAAACTGTAAGACATGTTGAGCTAATGGTGCACATGTTTTTATAAAACAAATAAATAATAATCATAATTAAAGGATAAAAATGAGAAGATAGTCCGCATGGCATTTCCACCGGTAAATTACCATCACTTGATGATCCTGTCTTGTGTGTCCGCTCCTAGACGAGCCGTCGGACCCCGGATCGCACCGTTGTCTTCCCCCCTTCATCCTCGCTCTCCCCCGGCCCCGGCCCCCACGCCCGCTCCCCCTCCCCGCGTAGCCCGGAGCTCCTAGGAGTCAATGTGGGCCAGCGGGTCCGACGGCTGAGCTCGCCCGGCGGTGAGGAGAGAGGGGAAGGAGAGGGGCAGGAGGAGAGGGGAGGGGAGACGGCTGAAGGAGAGAGGAGGGAGGAAAGGAGACGCCAGGCACAGCTGCTGCAGATACACCGAGAGCTGCAGAACGTTGAGGTGATTTTACATGCGCAGCTCTTCTTTGTCTCCCTCTGTGTCATTTCTCTCTCTGTCTTTATCTAGGAATGCTAGAGCCACCGTGTATCCAAACTCTGAAGAATTTACGGCCTAATTATAAATTTGTTGGGCAAGTCAGAACAATGCCAGTAAGCACTATAATCTCACTCTGCTTCGTTGATCCTAAAACGCTGCAGTTACTCAATCTTTGAAAGCAGAAGAGGGAAACACCACACGATGTTTGAACTGATGCTCACACAGCAGTCGGTTTTTCTTTCATGCTGTTACGATACGGAAAGCTGGAAACTCGGACTTCCAGTCTTTGTCATTCCGAGAAAGGGCTTTTAATTCGATATTGTCATTTTAAATAATGTTTCTCAGCTTCATCTCAAATTAGCATCTCCTACCGTCATCATCCATCCTCCCTGAACTCAGATTATAATCTCTCCAGTAATCAAGTTTGTGAGTCCGTGTGACTAGTTTGTATCTCCTAATGTAAATGAATATGCATTGATTCAACTAAAGATAGACCAAAATGTGATTATCAGGTTCAGACTACTTGGAATTTAAATTTGATGATCAATATACAGTGTAGAGCATTACAACAACATACATTTAGTTCCTTATTTGTCCTCTTTTTCTTCTTCTTTGTATTTAGATGAAAGCCAACCCACATTTTTACTCACGCACTTTTTTTGGTTTTACACTTCAGTCTGTTTAATGCCAAATATTGAGAAACTCTAGAGTTAGCTTTTTTATTTTCCATTTTCACAACATTGGTAGGAGATTGTGATGATATTTTGTTATATTTGTTGTTGATACCAGTGTACCTGTGAAATGAGCCAAATATGAAAAGAATGCATCAAAGTAAACCTGCTTATAGTTAAACCAAGGAAACCAAACTGTAGTTGCATTTAAACCTTTATTTGTCTTCTTATTTGTCTTCCAGGTCCGGGGAAAAGTGGGCATTTATGAGGCCCACATTTCTGGAACTCGTGCCCAAGAACTCGTGCTAAACCCTGAGCTCCAGCGCAGCCCTCGCTCTCCAAGACGATCGACCAGCCAAACCCCTGAATGCCCAATGGCCCACCCGCTAAAGAGTAAAGTTCTCTGCGTTGTCCAAAATGGAAGAGAAAGGGAGGAAGAAACTATAGAGGGAGAAAGGAGAGGAGGAGGAAGGAAACAAGACAAAAAGGACAACAGTGCTACAAAAACAAACGCAGAAAACAAGACACTGATCGGTCAAAATGGCTGCCATTCAGAAACGACAATGCAAACTCCCAGTTTAGACGGACCGTCTGTCGTTCAGGGTTTCCTTGAAACATTAAACCCAGATGCAACAACAGACAGAGAGAAAAAAGAGGGAGTAAAAGAGGGAGGGGAGGTGGAAAACAAACAGACGTTGGGAGACGAAAGAGAACGGACAGAGAGTGAAGTGAGAGATGAGAGAGAGGGCCGGTCGTGTCTTGAGATGCCGCTCCAGACAGAGGCAAACATGTCGGAGGTTAACCCAGAAATCAATGCTTTTCCTCTGACACAAGGCATGGAGAGCCCCCCTTGTTTGCCGGACGCTGATCACACCTCAAACCACTCTCCTTGCATCCCTCCCTCCATCCCCGCAGTCATCATAACTGACCACGGTTTGGAAAGCCAGCCTCAAACTTCTGAAGGCCCTGGCTCAGACCAGGGATTCGGCTGCAGCCCTAGCCCCGGTTCTAGCCCCGTCCCGGGTCCAAACTTCTCCACCCACTCCCTCAGGAAGCTGTCGTCCTCCTCCGCCTCCTCGGCCGGTTTCTCCTCGTCCTGGGAAGAGTCGGAGGAGGATATTTCCAGTGATACCGAGAAAGGAGAGCAGCTTCTCAACCCTGCAGCCCTCACGTCTCAACAGAAAGCAGTAAGTAGAGCCAAGTGAGAGCGTCAGCTAGTGTGTGTGTGTGTGTGTGTGTTCAGTGGAGACCTTTTGTAGTTGTGAATGGCGATGACCTTTGGAAACTGCATTCGCCTGGATTGCCAAATATCATTCACAAAGGAAAAATCAGACAAATATATTTGTCAAGGGATATCTTTACAGGAATATTCCAAAATGTTGTTCGACAATGGCAATGTCGGTCGGTTCACCATTCTGGTCCAGACTGAAATATCTCAACAATTATCTGATGGATTGACATGAAATTCTGTGCAGACATTCATGGTCCTCAGAGGATAAATCCCTCTGACTTTGGTAATCTCCAGACTTTTCTTCTAGCGACACCAACAGGTCAAATGGTTTATCTATCCCCTGAAATATCTCTATAGATTTAATTAAAGTAGATTTAATTTGGTACAGTGCTAACACGTTAAACTAAGATGGTGGACATGGTACTTGATAAACATCAACATATTTAGAATTTTAAATAATCAAATGTTGACAAAGACTAGTGAACTGGTGATTTTGCAACTAATCTTGCCAGATCATGGTTAAGAATCGGTCTGTGGGTCTCCGTTAACAATTGTGCCTCAAAATGTGTCCGTGTGTGTGTCCGTGTCCGTGTGTGTGTGTGTGTGTGTGTGTGTGTTGTGTGTTCGAAAGTGCCCGTGCATGTTGCTGGGTGCTCCTGTGTCAAATTGGCCAGAGCTCTCTGCCTGAGTAATGGTTGACATTCACAGTAACAAAGCTAGCTCTGTGCCCCAACCTGTGTGTGTGTGTGTGTGTGTGTGTGTGCAGGGGTGTTATTAGTGTGAGGGTACCATGATGGTGTGTGTGTGTGTGTGTGAGTGTGAGAGAGAGAGAGAGAGAGAGAGAGAGAGAGAGCAGGGGTGATTGAAAAAAGGGAAAGCGAGAGAATTTGCCAGTCACACACACTTAGGCTTTGCCTGCATTTGGAGGACGTTCAAAGAGGAGGCTGAGTCCTGTGTGTGTGTGTGTGTGTGTGTGTGCTTGAGTGTGAGTGTGTGTAGGTGGGTGGGTGGATGTGTTTTTGTTTGTAGCCAGGATGAGTTCACGGGGCCATTTCACTTCTGCTTTGAAACACGATCTAACGAAGGATTATATAACTGATTTTTTACCAGTGTTTCTGAAACAATGTCCCAAACCTATCGCTTTATTTAGGGACTTCAAACTGTGGCTTAAGGAGGGATGTGCTCATCATGTTTACTTCCTACCAGTTGAACCATCATGAATCATCCATGAGCTCTAAAATGAAAGAGGTGTCCCCCATGTGACTGAATACTCATCACGCTGCGATCAATACAGCATCTGCATATTTCCAGACATATTTCTAATCATTCAGACCTAATTTTCCACGTCTGCTCTCATTATGAGAGGCAGCAGCAGAAAGAAATGTAATATTCTTGTAAGGATTTTCAAGACTTCCAGGTTATGTATTGCATATTTAATCAAATGACCCCTCCCTAAACGAATGACCCAGCTCTCCCAGGTGACATGGATCCCAAACGATTTGTTTAAATGAATTTGGCTGATGGAATTTGAATCCTGTTTGTATTGCTCTTTGCATATTTGTGGTCACTCCTTTTTCGCTTGATCCAAGCGGAGAGAAGGGACAGAAGCTCCTGCTGGAAGTCAAATCTGACTGAGGGGGCGGGGCTTAGTGTTGGTATAGCAAAAGTCTGGACCCCCCCACAAAGATGTCAAACATGCGGGTTATTCGTGCTCTTTGTCCATAGATTTGAAGGAAACCCGGTGTATGTATGCAGGAGGCAAACATGCAGAAACACATAGAGTTTGTGTGGGAGGTGTGTAGGAAAGAGGAGAGGAGCGATACTGAGAGAGGAAGACTGGCAGAGCGAGAGAGACAGAAGAAAAGAGAAGGATGAAAGGAAAAGTTGTTATATGTGCTGCAGATTAGCCAGGTTGAACATGAAACACTTAAAGGACAGTCTTCATACTGAGATACACACAGATAAGTGTAGCTCTGGTGACACTACACACACACACCATGCGTGGAGAGAAACATAAGAGTAAGACCAGGGCTTTCTGCAGAATGCATGTCTCAGAGTCCCTCCACCTTAGATTTAATTCATTAGTGCTCCTTTGTGTTAGTAAGCGTGACATTTTAATTTCCTGTACAAACACATCTGCTCTGCTGTGGTCATCAGCTTTTGGATCACATCAACTCATTTCTGAGTGTACACACGCTTAACAAGTCGAGGCTGGAAGCTGAGCAGAGCCATATATAGACACCGTTTGGCTCATCTTTTGACTGCTGGGCATCTCTCCAAGGTTAGAAGGCACAAATGTACTGGCGGTGTATTTTCCTAGTAAATTGGCAGCAAAGAGGGCACCTGCAAAAGATTGGCATCTGTTGCTTTTTTTCTTTTGTTGTTTTCAAAATTCCAGTTGAGTTGTGAGGAATGAGAAGAGAAGAATCTGCCAGCAGCAGAGTTACTTCTTTGCTGAGGTGAGACCTAGTTGTTTGCTTCTACCTTTCTGCATCAGCTCCACGCCCATCACAGCAGTTTCAAACTAAACAGCTACACACGAGACCTCATGGACATACATGAAAAAGCAAAACGCTCGAAAATTGACTTTGCTAAGAAGATATCCAAAGACTGTTTTTTTTTTTTTTTACATGATTTGACTACAAAATGACGAGGTCTTAAACACAACTTGCCTAATAGCATTATGACTAAAGATAATGTACATGAATACTTGCTAACACTTACAGAAGATTAATGCTAGCTTTGGTAATGGGTTGAATTGTTTGACTTATTTATCAAACACAAAAGGCCAAACATTTGCAGGCTCTTGTCTCCCAATTATGAAGATTAACTGATATTATGTAATTTATATCACAATGAGATGAATGTCTTTGTTGATGGACTGTTAAACAAAACAAAAGGCTCTGGGTAATCCTTATTGGCTGTTCTTCACATCTTTTATGACATTTTATATTCTAAAGTGGAAAAAAAGATAATTTGCAGCATTATTTACCCTTTTCAACTGCAATTTAATTAAATTGTTTTATCATACTTGCTGTGAAAACTTGGTGGGGAGCTGCTCTTGAAGCTGCACATTGTACAGAAAACCCCACCGTCATGATTCAGCTCTTCAGAGAGAGATTGATGAAAGGATCTTCAGGTAGCGGAAGTGGGGCCGGACTCGAGAAGGCCTCACCGTGACCACAAACAGAAGGTGTGGTGATACTCTGTACTGTCAGTAGAGCTCGGGACGCATTCCGATACGCGTGTTGTTCTTCATAATGTGCATCCATTATATAAACAGAATGCGGACTGCACCCATGCTGTGAAACACACACACACACACACACACGTCTGCTAACGCCGACACATCCTCTGCAGACATCACATAGTCGCGCAGTCACGAATGTTCTCTACAGCCACACTGTCACTAATGTCGCACTGACCCAAACATGAATCTTCACCTGCACTTGTTTATCCAACTGTGAGTGTGAGCTCACCTCCAACCAGCACAACAGAAGAGTGTTTGTTTTGGGGAAGAAAACTAATTTTTTGTGTCCTGAACTAGACCTCGAGCACAAAAAAAAAAAAATCAGCTCTCACACACACACACACACACATACTTAGACACACCGTGTTTGCACTGCAGTGGAAAATCTTCGCTACCACAGCGGCCGGTTGCCTAGCAAAGCTGTGACGTCAAACTGAGTTTCCCTCTCACAGCTGTATGTATGTATGTGTGTGTGTGTGTGTGTGTGACAGAGAGTCTGTAAGTTTATGGGTGTGTGTCCAACTCTTGTTTGTGTGTGTGTGTGTTTATTGTGAGAGGGGGGGAAACACCGGTCAATTCTTCGTTTGGTGTTTCTGTGTGAGTTTGCTGGTGAGAGTGAGTGCGTGTGCATGTTAACCGCCCCGGTTAATGAGGAGTCAGGTCGGCCTGCAGCGACTGAAGCTGACAGTTTGGGTGAAGGAGTGTCTATTAGTAGCATGGGATCCAGGGCAGACGTGAAGTGTGGTTTCACATGTTGTCAGAGACTCACTGGGGAAACCCTGCTTTATGCATGAATGCAAGTGTTTGTGCAGAGACAAGGGATGTGTAGTTCACACACTGGAGGTTGCATTTTTAAATGTAACGGCGATATTAACAGAATATTTTTTTCTAGACCTTCTGGTTAATTTTTATACATCAGATTCGCTGCATATGAACGTGACCACTCTTTTATTGTGCTTGTTAGTGAGCAAGAGAAGAAACCTCCCAGAGTGTTTCATTTAGAGTGTTTCAGAGCTGCGGCTTGATCTGAAGTCAGAAGTGCTCTTTAATGTTCCATTGAGTGACCTCAATTTGGAAACCAGTCATCCTTATCGCACTACAGTACGTAGCGACGGCCACATCACAAACTAATCTAACCACCTTTTCTTTCTTTTAGGTGTCCGTTTCTCACCTTTATGTAGCCGTCACTTTTTTTTTTGCAAAGCTATTTTTCCACTCTCCAGCCGTGGTTGCTAAGAGATTTATCGTGCACTCTCCAAGCATCAAACACACACACACACGTGGTTTAGCCTGCATCACACTCCTTGCAGTTTAATTTTGTCTGCATGTGTCTGGGTGTGTGTGTGTGTGTGTGTGTGTGTGTGTGTGTGCTTCTCAGTCTAAATGTTGCAAGCTCAAGACAGTTGCATTATTTGTATCTGCAAGGGGACCTTGTGGTGAGAGATATCAGGCTTGTTGTTTCCTCAGCACTTCTCTGTTGAAAACAGAAGCGCGCATCAGTGTTTCCCCTGCTGCTACACACATTACACATGTGTAACCCAGAGTTACCCTTTGCCCCAAGTTGTTGTTTTTTTTCTACCATTCTCACCACTCTCCTGCTCGTTTCATTCCTCCCTATGTGTAATGTGTAATATCTGTTTGCCCTACGTCACAGCAGTTCTCTTAGTGAAAAAAACAAAAGAAACATCTGTAAATGTCTTTACTATGGCGTTTCAATAATGTACGTGCTAATTGCACAGTTTAACAGACCACTTGTCTTGTGCAAATGCATGTTGCGTTAAAATGTATCTGCAGATGTTGAAGAACACGATGCACATTTCTGGCCGATATAAACTCTTTGCCTCAGTGCTTCTTTTTTCCCTCCGTGCTCTTTCTGTTGTTTACAGAGGGCAAGGCCTTCTTTCTTTCTTTTCTCTCTTTTGTTTGTAGTCAGCGGCGGATGTGGAAAATACTGTCGCTGAGGCAAGCGGCAACCCCCCCCACTTCCTGTCTGCAAGAAGTTCCTTTTCTTACCATTTCCTCTCTCTCTCTCTCTCTCTCTCTCTCTCTCTCTCTCTCTATCTCAATGGAAACTTCACTGTTTTTCCTGCTCTCCCCTTGTCATCCAGCTGGTCTGGGATTAGAGATAGGAGAGACAGAGAGGACGTCGGAGAGCAACGAGCCAGAAAAAAAGATGAGAGGCTGACTTTTTTCTATGCAGAGACAGAGACAGAGAGAGAGACAGAGAGAGAGAGAGAGAGAGACGATTTTTTTTTAATTGTATCCCAGTTTTGGGTTCATGCATGTTTGCTCATTGAAAAAAAATTCTAATCTTTCTATCAGTTTAAGTCCATTATAAGAAATGAAATAAAAATGAGCTACTTTACAAAGAAACCAAGGTGACTGACTGAATAGTAAGATGTGTCTGACTGTTAAACAATCTGTGAAGCTGAAGATTATTTAAAGAAAATAGTAATATATTCCCTTAAATTCAATCAGGTAAAAAAGCTCAAAATGGCAGAAAAGTGGAGTTACCTGTAGGAGTTATTTCCCCCTGACACAACTGGACATATTGACTTTAACTGGTAACACTTGATTTTGAATGGGATATGTAGTGCTCTCATTGGCCGGCTGGGTTCAGCTGTAAAGTCAGGTCGACAAGTCTGGATTCTTTTCACACACGGTTTCCTGCTTTGCATCTGTACTCAGATATTTATAAAAGTGTATCTTTTTTGTCTTCAATCTTTTGAGCACCCGAACCTCACGTCTGAAATACGTTTTACACATTCCTAAAATGTTCCCGACGATCACAAATGTTTCCGACACAAATCCCCTCTGTTAGCACAATTTGAGCACATTTCAAAACTTTCCACGAGTCTCTTGTTATCTACATGTCACACGTTTAGACACGCTCACGCTCAAGGTTTTTATTTTCACACACTCGATAGTCATCCAGCCAGCTGTGAAATTATTCTTTCACAAGCTGAGAATCCAGCTCACGTATTTATGTGCGTGGCTCATTTCTGACTTGATAAAAAGCCAGATGTGTCGCTTCATAAACTCACCATGAAGCTGTTTAGGACGTTTCCTTTTTGTCTGTTGCTGCTCGTGTTGTAACTTCTGTCACAACCTTTCTGTTTCTGCAGAAAAACGTGTATGTAAGTTATTGCTATATTTTCCTCGCAGCCTCTCCATTTTCCCAGTACTCGGTGTGCATTCACACTCACACACCCACTCACACACACTTAGCTCCGTCTGTGTCTTTCCAATGCTCTGCCCTGTGTGGAGATTTGCATGTCCAGATTATGTTTGTCCTCTGATTTGCCAATCAAATGATGCACAATTGTTTATCTCTACACACACACACACACACACACACACACACATGTGTAAATCTCGTGGGGCATAGAAAGAGGAGCATGCAAGCCTGAGGTGCTTGGTTTGTTAAAAGCAGGAGGGTTTGGTTGCGCTGCAGGACAGTTGAACAGATTATCCGTCTGACAGAAAGCCCATCGGCCATGATGGGGCCTGCGTGGCTGTATTCAGTGTGGAGTGTTGTGTCAGTGGGAGCCATCGTTATCATTACCGTCATCCACCTCCGCACCAGCCACCTTCAGGTACTGTCGCCCGTACAGCCAGTGTTTCTTTTATTCCAGCTGTGCGTTGACTATCACACGAGGCTTCTTATCCCTGGATTTAGTCCTTGTTTAGGGATGTTTGACAGCTCAACTTTTGGAGTTCAGATTTTATTGAGCAATAATATGTCTGGTAATAGTCGTAGTCCTTTTTATTTCATTACACACAAACCAAACCTCTCCTCTCGTCCTGCTCCACCTGATTGCATTTTAATGTCTCTAGTTCCTAAATCTTCACAAGTTGACAACTTCTGTTATTACTCACACATGAGATAGACCAGACCTTTTCTTTTCTCTCTCTGTCTCTTGCCCTCCACAGCTCTCTCTCGCTCTCTCTCACACACACACACACACACACACACACACACACACACACACACACACACACACACACACACAGCAGCTGTAAGTGGGCAACGTGGGAGATGGATGACAGTCTGAGTTGACAGAGAAAGTGAAGACCCTGGCTACTTACCAAGCTGTAGTCTGATACTCTTGCGCTCTCTGCTAACTGGCCAAAGATGGTAGAAAAGAGGAGTAGGGGGTCAACATTCAGCTTGATTTTTTCTTACCTTTCTGGAGGCCTAAAAGGCTTCATCTGTTTTGTATTTATCGATAAGAAGAAGCCAGAGCCTTCTGATGTACTGACAGTGGATCAGAAAGATGGCAAGAGTTTCATTTCAACCTTCATTTACTCAGTGAACTCACTGCAAATGTTTCTAGTCATAACTACACATTGACACGTGGAGATTGTTGTTCTGTCCTCCTGCAAAGAAATTCTTTTAATCAACAGTTTCTCCACAAAGTGTCACATAATAGCACCACTTAAAATCTTAATTTCTTGGAAATATATCATGCATCATGAAAAAGGCCTACAAAACTATTGATCGACAAAAGAAATCGTAGTCGACTACGACTAAGCTGATCAATCGGTTGACTAATCGACTGAGAGGGAGCAGCCCTGTTAGATGCTCTGTACCAGATTCTCCTTCGCGTTTCCTTTTGCCTTCGTCATCCCACTTTAAACCACGTTGACTCTTCCGTTATTTTCTGAAACTGCAACGGCATCCTTCTGTTTTTGTATGAGCTTCAGCAAATGACAAGAAATCAATTCGGTAGACTTCTAGAACTATTGGACTTTGCTACCAAACTTTCCGTTGTTGCACAAATGCCACTGATCCTGAGAATATCACCGTTTCAAGCTCTCTCTGAGACTCATTGCAGCTGACCTGCCCTTCAGTTAGTTTCCACCATGTGATCTGCTCTCATGTGTGTTTGTGTTTTACTTTTTGCAGAGTTCTCTCTCTCTCTCTCTCTCTCTCTCTCTCTCTCTCTCTCTCTCTCCTTCAGTGGTGCAGAGAAAAAACCCTTCATGTGACTCTTCACCTCCTCAGAGAGAAAGAGAGAGAGAGAGTGTGTTTCCGAAGGTGTGTGTGTGTGTGTGTGTGTGTCTAACCATAGATAGTCATGCTATCAGCAGATGAATTTTCATCAGGTCCAGATTCTGTGACATGGGTTATATATCTCCTTCTATGGTCCTCCTCTCTCTTATCTTATCAGTCCTCTCCTCCTCCTCTCATCTCTCTTCTTCTCTGGTTATTTGTAGACATAATATTATGTCTCCTGATATTTTCAGACCAGAGGAAATCTTCTGCGTGCGAGCCGACACCATTAACATTCACACCTTGATATGGAATTTCAGTATACATGTTATACTACACAAGATGATCACTAAGCAGATGTGATCCTTTAAAAGTGGATGTACACATCCATCATAGTGTCAAATGATGTCCATATCCATCTAATGTGTTTTTAAGAGGAAACTCCTCAAAACATTTGGATTTTTCTCATCTTCTTGTCGTCACTTGTATCTCTGTCCCAATGTTGCACAGCCAAGCATTGTTTAAACCCACAGAACAAGACATCTGGAGTTTTTTACATCTGATGTAATGCTGCAGACATAAAAATAAAAAGTTACTTTTGTCTTGTGCTTTTGCTCTTCTCAATATTTCACTTTGTCTCAGTAAACATTACAGGTAACTTTCAATTTAGAGAGTTTAACAGTCAGATATTAAAATGTCTTTTCTTCACAAAGACAGAGAACTGCACTAAACCTGAATCGGTCCGTCGTCACTGAGATGAAAACTGTTGATGTTGAAAACAACTAGCAGTGTGTGTTTGTGTGTCAGAGACAGCGTGTGTCCCAGTTTGTCAATGAGTTTGTTTGTGTGTGTGTGTGTGTGTGTGTGTGTGTGTGTGTGTGTGTGTGTGTGTGTGTGTGTGTGGCAGGATTCCCACGGTTCAATGCCTCTGCCAAGGACAGGGAGAGCCCTTGGAGAAAGTGTGTGTGTTTGTGTTACCAGGGGAAACCCCGGCTTGATCCTGCGGAGTTTAGTTAAAATGTCCTTTAACAGCAGGGGGAAAAAAAGAGTGTGTGGGAGAGGGGAGTGTCAGGGATGCCCCACAGTGTGTGTTTGTGTGTGTGCATGTTTTAAAGACTTGTGTTTTGTTCTCAAGGCTATTTAACTAAACAGTAAAAAAAAAGTGCAAGATCAGCCAAAAGTTTCAGAGGAGAACTTGATCTCTGGGTGATTATAAACAGACTGCACACTGCCATCTGAGGGAGTGAGCATTTAGTACACTTCCCTAAATTCATCTTTCATGTTTGCATGGAGCTGGTACACTGCATCATACCATCATCATGTGTCATTTCAGTTTAAACACATTGGTGACGGTGAACTGTAGGCCAATGATCGTAAATATCATAAATGAAATAAAACGGTAACATTTCTGGTGGAGCGTAAGAAAAGCACATTGTTGGCGAAACGTTATTCTGAAGGATGATCACCGATGTTGTGTTTGTGTTTGTAGCACAAGTCTTGGAAGAAGATTAAGAACATGGTCCACTGGTCGCCGTTTGTCATGTCCTTCAAGAAGAAATATCCCTGGATACAACTGGCTGGGCATGCAGGTGTGTGGACACATTACAGATGACATCATTCATAGCAATAACATACTCAACATGAGGACATACACACATGTGCATTTTATTTTTGAAAGAAGATGTGAGTCAACGTATTAGTCTGTCTTTGTTGGTGCTCTTTCTTTGAGGTCAGGGGGTTAAGGGGAAGTGTATGTGTGTTCAGATGGTAAGCAGGGTGGGGAAACATCAGGCGATGTTAGGTGTCGTGGCAGTTGGAGGCTCAAGCCACATAAGATTAAAAGCCTGCAGCTCTTCCTTGCTTACCCAGTTGTGACAAATCACAATTGTTGTTTTAAACCAGCTTCTCACCTCACTTTAACCCCGACTAACCTGAGCCAAGCCACTCCCAGTAACTGTATCCTAACGCGTTCTGCAGCTGCTTTACAGTTAATGTGTGTCTTTTTACAGGGAGCTTCAAGGCCGGAGCCAACGGACGCATATTAAAAGTAAGACGCTCTTTCACACCAATCATACCTTGTCTGTCGTTGAAGAGGATGTCGATGTGATGCACTCTGGTTTAGATAGCTGCCACGTGTTGCTGATACTGAATCAGTGCAGCTCGGGGTATAAAATGTTGAGCTGCACCGATACCAATCCAGACATCTGATCTCAGGCCGATACCGACTCAAATAGCTGTATCTGGTGTATAACAATGTATATTATACACTGGAAATTTAATTCCTGTTTACGTTTTGACCAAGTTGTTGCTGCATTAAATAGGTTTATACTTGAGTTGCATCCACGCATCCCTAATAAAGTGTCAATAACTCGTTGTGTATTTCCTTTAGAAACACTGTGAATGTGAGCAGCGCTGTCTGTCCCTCCTCATGAGGGACGTCCTGCGCCCGTACGTCCCTGGTTATCATGGAGACGTAGAGAAGGACGGCCAGAAATACAACCAGATGGAGGATCTGCTGGCTGAGTTTGACTTCCCATGTGTGATGGACTGCAAGATGGGAGTGAGGTGAGAAGACACGTGACATGACATCATTCTTTACATAGCAGGTTGCTGGTTATTTTTATAGTTATGCCAATCATTTCTCTTTATAAGGCTGCTATTCTACTGACAAAAATTAAAAATAAAATAATAATCACTCAGTCACTGCACAGTAAACCCGCAGCATGTCCTTCAAGTCACACTGGAGCCGTTCTTTAAACTGATGGATGTTTAATATCTGACAGTTTGTGTGATCATTTTACCACTCGCCTTTGTTTTCTCTTCCGTTTGGTTTCTTTAAAACCCGTATGATCGTCTCACCAGACTTCTTGTCGTCCATGTCGCTGTGTTCCCAGATCTTAGCACTTAACAGCTGAAGAGACATCTTCTTCACACCTTCGCTTTCACCCTCCCTCCTCCTCCTCATCTCCACCTCGTCCTCCTACCTCTCTGTGCTCATGTCTGTCACCCACACCTTCTTCTTCTCCATCTTCTTCACAGCTTCACACTCCTTCTTCTTTTTTTTCCTTCTTCTTCTTCTTCAGGACCTACCTTGAGGAAGAGCTGACCAAGGCTCGTAAGAAACCCTCCCCGAGGCCTGACATGTATCAGAAAATGGTGGAGGTGGATCCTGCGGCGCCTACGCCAGAGGAAATCCTCCAGAAAGCGGTGACCAAACCCAGATACATGCAGTGGAGAGAGACCATCAGCTCAACAGCCACCCTGGGATTCAGGATAGAGGGAGTCAAGGTAAGACTCACACAGAGAAAGGTGTTTGTGTGTGTGTGGCCTTCCTTCCCTCCTTTCTTCCAGTCTTCTGTCTGTGTGTGTGTGTGTGTGTGGGGGGGGAGTGTCCTTCAAGGTCATGATCTAATTTCCTGTTTTGAACAGAAACTTCCTCTGAAGTATACGTTTGTGCATGAGATCCTTTGTCACACATGAGGCCTGTCCGTGGCAGCTCTCTATGCCTTGGCATCTGGCACTGACATTGTACACAAACACACTCACACACTCAAACACACTCACACACAAATCTCTGCTGTCTTTATTTGAGGGTTGTGGCTATATAAGGACATTCGTGGCCTCCCGGTGGTCTGTTGCCATGACACTGAGGGTTATCCCCAGAAACAGAGATGTGTGTGTGTGTGTGTGTGTGTGTGAAGAAATAAAAAGTGTGGATGTGCGGTTCATGTGCAATTCAACCTCTTTTTGTAAATATGCATCTGTGTAACTGTGTGTATGTATAGATTGTATAAGCTCGTATGTATATGAGAAGTGTAATTAGGTGTGTGTGTGTGTGTTTGTGTGTGTGTGTGTTTCTGTGACATGACATGAACCTTAAAGGTAAAAATAGTTGTGTCTCCAAATAGTATCTTGTTGCCTGGCAGCCAGCAGAGTAAGAAACACTCATTTATTCTACTCTGAACCGCCCGACTGGTTGGTTACCGCTGCTGGTATTCTGTAATCTAGTTAATTAACTGTTACAAGCCCCCAAGAAGATGCCATGGGGCCCGAAAATACTTTCCCCCAAAGACTTACATTGGTAAAGAGGCGTCGGTAAATTTGCGGGTATTCTTTTCTTTTTTTAGGTAAATCAACTTCCCTGTACAAACACTTAAATAGCCCTTATTTAAATCATTAGCTCCTAAAAGTTGTAAAATACACTAATAGTATCCAGCATTATTTTCCGCCCTCGGTTCATGTGAATGAGCGCAAGAACGAGGCTGGACTGACGACTGGGAGGCGGAGTTAAAGGAAACGCTTGTACGCCTGCTTCATGGGTCAAGTTACGCAAAAGATTGCTGTAAGATCCGGGTAGTTTTCGTCTTAATTTTATACACGGAAGTCAAACTTTTTGGGCTTCATGCACCACTTTAATAGGAATTGCAAGGGGCCTCGCCTCCAACACTGTATCCAGTTCTCTTTATACATAAATGTACTTTTGTTACTACTGTACATACACTACTGATTTTAATACTCCAGTCCTCCTACTGCTCATGGCTGTCTTCAACCACAGAAATTCTTATTCGACTAACACTCATACAATTTTGTCGACTAATTGATTAACGGATTTAATCGACATATCTGTAAAACCACAAAGAATCACACAATAGCATCACTTTAAACATCGTGTTTACCTGAGATGAGCTCATGCGTTTCTTGGAAATAAGTCGTAGGTCATAAGTAAGTAAGATGTGGAGAGTAAACTCAATGTGTGAATTCAATTCCCATTCTTTACTATTTTCTGAAAATGGAATCATAGAATAATCACCAATAATTGATAATTGTTAGTTGCCATATTGAAATTTCCGACTTGACAACTTCATGAGATTAAACAAAGTGTTTCTTTATATGGCTCTGCTCAGACCTTTAATTCACAGCTAAATCTCTAAAGATATCTTTCCTTCCTTTCCTCCCCTCATTGTTTGTTCTGCTTTTCTTGTCCGTCCTCTCCTCTGCTCCGACTCCTTCCTCCCTTCACGTCCTCTGCTTCGCTGCTGTCCCTCCCATCTCTACAAGAAGCCTGGAAGTTGTAGTTTATGACGACAGAGAGTGGATATACGAGACACAAACATTTATTTGCATGCTAATTATCCCTAAAATTATAATTTGTCTTATACTACCAGCTGTGCTGTGGTGCTCGAGATCTGTGGGGATATCACTGGTCTGGTCTTGGTCTCAACCCCTGAAAGTCTCGGTTTAGGTGGTCTTGACTACAACATTGACGACCAGTACAAATAAACCTAACGTTGAACTCTTTGCTTATGGTCTCCCCTCTCCTCTCCTCTCCTCTCCTCTCCTCTCCTCTCCTCTGCTCTCTAGAAGGAGGACGGGACAGTGAACAGAGATTTTAAGAAGACAAAGACAAGAGACCAAGTTACTGTAGCCTTCCATGACTTTGTCAAAGGAAATAAGGACGTACTGGTAAGTTTGTAGTGTGTGTGTGTGTCTGTGTGTGTGTGCGTGAGTGTGTGTGTGTGTGTGTGTGTGTGCCAATAGCCTTGCCCACTGAAAGGTACAGAAAAATACATGACGAATTACATTTCAAGATAAATTTCCCTGTGCTGTTTTAACAATCCCATGGGAAACACACACACAGACAGTATATGAACAGACAGATTCACACATATACAAAGCCACCTTAAGCTCCTGGGTCAGAAGAAAAGGGAAGTCCTTGGGAACTCCCTGTGCCTCTTCACACACACACACAAATGCACACTATTAGTATTTGACAGCATTGGATACATGTGCATGCTTAAGAGTGTGTTTGTTATTTTTTTTTATTGAAATACATCAACGCATACTTTTTTAACTGAATCCAACACCCATATGTTAGTCGTAAAACATGAGAATAGATGGTACAGCCCAGTTCTAGTTCAGACTAGAGACCGGCTGCATCAGGTGTGGGCCAAACTGGGTGAACAAAAAATAAAATCTTGTGTTTCTTTTCTCTCCTCAGAACTGTTATCTAAGCAGGCTGAGGGAAATCAGAGACACTCTGGAGATCTCCCCATTCTTCAAAACCCACGAGGTAATATTTCTGCTTTACTGCAAATGGTTGATGTTGTAGTTCTGGGCTCAGTTCAGGATGTGTGAATTTCCATGTCCGGTAGACTGGCTTGAGACACATTTTCTGTTCTAAACAGCGTGCAGCACATCCTTTGAATTGGTGAATTAGTCCCAGTCCTAGTTAACATGTACTTTGTGTCACCTTACATTCAAATAATAATTTATTGATTAGGTAGTTAAGTGTCATTTAGTGACACTAACTCACTCGAGCAAACACACCAGTGCACGCACAGCGTAACAGGTCTCGTCATTGAAATTGGTCAACACACGCACACGTTCAGTTCCACTCACATACAAACTAACATACGAGCGGACATAAATGCAAGGCGTTGTAACAAAACAGGAAGTGAGATCATGTTTTTGAGGGAAGCAAACACAAGAGTAATGTTCAGTAAAAAAAGAAGAAAGAAAAAATAGTTTCCTGTTTTCTTAGTCACCCCATTGTCTTGCTGTGTCTCTGCAGGTGATTGGCAGCTCTTTGTTATTCGTTCACGACAGTAAGGGGAGGGCCAAAGTCTGGATGATTGACTTTGGGAAAACCACGCCTCTTTCTGACGGGGACGAACTAAACCACCGAGCATCATGGGTCGAGGGCAACAGAGAAGACGGTTACCTGTCTGGACTTGATAGTTTGCTGGACATCATTTTAACCATGGGGAACTCTGAGACTTGAAGTCGGAGGGTTAAAAAAGAAAAAAAATCCCAAGTGAACATTTGGACACACAACAACCACTTCCATTCATTCTTCCTTTCTCTCGGGAACACTTCCTCAAGGATTCCTTCACAGACGTTTGTCCTCATGTTGGAAACCACATCATCCCATAACAGTGCGCAGCCAAATCCATTCATGGATGCAACCTGGCTATTAATATTCTGTGGATTTCAGGTTCTTTCTCTTTCCCGCTCATTTACTACCTTTTTACTAAAGGAAAAACAGCAAAATTGCTTCATCCAAATTGAAGTCTAAGGCTGGTGATATTTCATATTTTTGTTATAAAACAAATTCTATGAAAAGACCAAAAACAGTGTGTTTGTTTGTCTCAATATTTATCCAGCCCATTTGTTTCTGCTGAAGATGTGAATTATTTAAAGATGGATTATGAATATATATATTCATAATATTTTCTAAAACAGCTGGGCACTGTAGTTTTGAGCAAACATTACTCAAACGGGAGGAAATAGTGTGTTTGTTTCAGGACTATTTTCAGAAGCGGATTAACACACGTTTGGTTGTGCTCGTGAACGTTTGGGATCATCTAAAATAATATATCAAACCCAACAGTGCCCATGTAGATTGTAATGAATGAACACCTAACAGTGTGGCTCAAAGATGGAGCGTTATGACTCACAGGAGTCAGCTAAATCAGGCTTTAGATACACACACGATGGTTGCAGGATGAAGTTATTGCTGGTTTTGGTCTTTTTGTGGGATTTGTTGACATTAAAATTAAAACGATAAAGAAAATATCCCCAGAATTATCATTTAAAGCCACTATGTGTGGAATTTTAACATTTTTATCTTTTGCACTCCTTGGTGATAAAAAAAACAAACACTGTAAGGGCCTGATCAGACAGAGGACGCTTTGCAGGTAGAAAACGTGGTAACGTTAGCCTAACACAAACCATGAACTGTATGCTAATTAATAGTTATTAAGTTCAAAAAATTTACAACATCTTACCCAAAATCTCAAGGACCGGGTATCCAGCAAAAGTCACCACAGTGAGACAAAAATGTCACTGACGTCCCGCTTCTCCGCTCTGAGTTGAATATTTTTCAACTCGAGGCCTTCGGGGCGCTCTTTTAAAATAGAGAGTCGCATAGAGCTGAAAAAAGCGAGGCAGCGTGCAGAGCGCTTCACTTTCATTGAAAACACGCCGCCCCGTCTGCTAAAACGTGCTCTGTCTGTTCAGAGCCCGAAGACGCTGTGATCACATAAGAATTGTACAAGTAGTGGCTTTAAAACATGCACGTTAAAACGTCCATATTTGACTTTAAATATCTTGTTTAACAGTTATACTCATTTGTAACTTAGATATAGTCTATCTCCATTAAGTCTCAGCTAGATTGCATATCTTCCTAAGTATATCTGATCTCAATTGTATTGGATTTTTTTGTGTTTTTGATCATAATTTCAGCACATTGCCCCTTTCTTTTAAAATTAATCTGCACTTGATTCTATTTTCACTGTTAGAGATTGTACGGTTGAGTGTGCTTCACAGTGCAAAACAAAACTAGTCTAGCTGTTTATAACCTCTAACCATAGCCATACTTAGAATTCAGATACTCTAATTTGGTCAGTGAGGTTTTCAGTGGCAGCCAGGTTTCCTCCACAATAACCTGGCAGTTATGTGAGGCTAAATGATTCAGGTCAGAGTAGTTTCACTATGTTATGGAGGGCATTGTTTTTATGTAACATATTTACAGCCAATGCCAGTCCATGGTACTTGCCTGGACAAACACTTCCCACCCTTCTCACACCTTTGTTGGGATTGTTCACAATGTACAATGAGATTTATTATGTTTTGATGTAGTTGTTTTGTAACATTATTTTAGCGTACTCAAATCCTGTGGAACACTTACAGCCATGAACAACCTTATTTAAGCTATACAGTGCCTTGACATTACAAAGCCAAGTCAGACAACTGAAAATATGTTCTTATTTGAAATGTTACGGCGGACTTTTATCCTAGTCTTAACTGTTTCAGTGCGTAGTCTCGGGTGCATGTTTATTATCCTCTTAAAGTTTGGGCTTAATTTGTATTTCATCCTGTTTTTATTTATAACATTATATTATGTTTGTTGTTTTTGTTATTGGGATACTGTGACATTTTGAATTGTGGGCTGTTGTGTTGCTTCGTCTTCAAGCATGTGTTACAGTATGAGTGAAAGTCAAACAACGTTGGATGTCTATAGAAAAGATTGACGGCTGTTCAGATAATGATACCCATTTATTTAAATGGGGAATACAAACGTTCATTAAGAAAGTGATTGGGAAGAGAAAGGAGGAACACATAATGTAACAGGTTCTTGATGAACAATAAAAACTAAATAGTATGTAGAATCCACTCTACCATATATTTAAAAAGCAATGGTTTTCATTTGATGTGTGCAGTGACAGTAGACGCAGAAAGAGATTATAATTCCATGCAGTGCCTTCTTAAATTAGTTCAACATTTTGGGAAATATGTATGCTTATCAGCTTTTGTGCATTAAACAAGATGATTGAAACCTCTCCCATGCCTGTACGCTAAATATGAAGCATTCGCCAGCAGCTGGTTAGCTTAGCTTAGCATTAAGAGTGATTGATTAAACATTCAAGGTATAATGTGATGTAATATAATCTGCCCTTGATTACATTTCCATTGTTAGAGATTTTACAGTTTAGTGTGTTTCACAGTGAAAAAAATGATCTTTTAGGTGTTTTTACTGCTGTTTAACCAGCCACACTTTGAATTTAGATTATTTAAGTTGGTCAGCAAGGTTTTCAGCCATGTTTCCTCCACAGTGACCTGGCAAATATATTTATATGAATTATACAGATCTCAATAGTTTCATTCTGTTATGAAAGGCAGTGCGTCATATTTTGGGAAATATGTATGCTTATTAGCTTTTTTTCGCAGAGAGTCAGACGAGATGATTGATACTACTCTCATGCCTGTACTGTAAATATGAAGCGTTTGCCAGCAGCTGGTTAGCTTAGCTTAGCATAAAGACTGGCAACAGGAAAACAACGTTTCTTGATTAAAACATTCAAGATATAACGTGTTAATTAGTGAGCTTTAGGGTCAGGGGTTGGCAGATTGTGTTACCTTTGCATAGGGGCTAGCTGTTTCATGGCTTTATGCTAAGCTAAGCTAACCAGCTGCTGTAGGATGATTGTTAACGGGTAGATATGACCGTGGTATCACCTTTCCCAAAATGTTAAACTATTCCTTTAATATCTACCGTCTTCGCTATTGCTTATGCTCCCCGATGTGCACTTATCGGGTTGTTTGCTAGTAGTTCATATATTGTTTTGGTTTTTGCCGGCTTATGTATTTATTTGGATTTCTCCTTTAAAAAAGTGTGTATTTTTGTGAAAAAAACCAATACTGCTTCCATGTGTGACTTCCCTGAATTTCTTGGATCATAGAGGTCTGAGCTTGTAGGAAAATGGTTCACGCGACACGGTTCAGAGTATTTCCTCCACGAGGGCACAACCTCTGGTCCTGACCTGAGGAAGCCCACAGTGACCCACGCTGCTGCTGCTTCATGGCCACATCGATTAGTGTGTTTGCATGGGGGTCATTTGCCATTCAAATCACACCTGTCCACAACAGCAGCAGCATCCGGAGCTGGAGGGAAAGAGACGACATGATTTAGGAGCTGAGAGGTGAATGAGGGAGACACTGCAGAGATGTGAGGTGGAAGGTGAACCATTTAGTATTTTTGAACATGCGGCTATTATACTGTAGACATTTCATAAGATGTTTACATTGTTCCTGCTCATTGTTCCATTTGTGCACTTTTGTTTGAAGTGATCATTTCTTATGGATGTTATGACTAAAACGTCCTACACACAATACTTTGGAAAATCCCCACATGATAAAAGTTTTTAGTATCCTTGAGCCTTACAGTGAGGGTTCACTCTTCATTGCCTGTAGTTGACATCCCTTATGTGAAATAACCTGTTATTATAGACCCATATTTGACAATGTCCACTCTCCAGGCACTTTGACAGAGATGTATTCACTTAAGAGGACCATTGAGCTCATTTCGTCCAGGAAAGGATTCTAACCTCCCTTACGTAACAAAAAATACAACATGCGCTGCGTGGATCTGTGGCACACTCTGCTGCCACTGCAGTGTCACTGCAGATGGATGATCGCCTCTAAAAGATAAAGTCAGAACCCAAATTTGCATTAAGATTTTAGAAGACATTTTGGTCACACTCATTATGACGTCCATGTCTATAGAGCAATATAAACATACTTATAATGCGCTATAGTCTGCTCAAAGCATTGTGTAATTATAGTTATGAGCACTGATAAATATGAATAATGCTTTATAACAATAATTATAACCCATTATGAAGCACTTTATAATTACTTATAAGGTCAAGTGTCATAGAATTGCTGGTCTCTCACAGACTTTTTTGCAAGGATCACAGTGTATTATATTCTCATAGTTGCATTACATTATAATCACTGTTATGATTCATTATATTGTAATTATAAGTTACTCTAAGTGGTCATTGTTTGCTTTAAGTATAGTAACGAATAATTTTGTGTTTTGTTCTTGCATAGATTTTATATTTTTTTCACTTAACTTAACGCAAACAATTACCACTTAGAGTAACTCATAATCACAGTATAATGTATTATAAATAGTTTAAAATGTATTACTATTACTATAACTATTACTATATGATCCTTGCAAAAAAGACTGACCAGTAATTATGACCTATTATGATATGGAGCTCATAGGTCATTATAAAATGATTTATAATGTGTTATTATATATTATAAAGCATTATGAATATGTATAAGTTGTTATAACCATAATAGATTATAATGCATTATAATCATGCATAGAAAGTGTTACCAAAATGTTCAATTCTTTTCTGAGGAAATGGCTTTTGAAGTGAAATTATAAATATCTAGTGCAGTTGTGTCTTTACGTGTTCATTTTACTTCAGTTATTTTTATAACAGCCTCATTTTAAAGTACGGTACTGATTGTGGTAATTGTGAAATCATACATTTTTTTCATGATTTGTCCTGATAATTGACAATAACAATCAAACAGGGCAGAGTTGGGGTTATGTCCGCATACCGCAGATGGCAGCAGAGGCCCATTTCAAAGCCGAGGTACAATTATGTTTTTATGGTTGGCACGTGTGGTGTAAATGTGTCTGCTCATGTAAAACCTTGTAAAAACCGGAATTTGCACTCAATAATACAGAGTCGGGCTTTGGGACGCAGTACAAACATGCTTCTTGTTTTTCTCGCGTGATGAACCAATGAGAAGCCGCGTTTCAGTCCACACCTCCTGTCAACAGACGACGAGGACCAATAGGAGCAGAGCATGACCAGAGCCGTGCATAGATAAAGTTTAGCAGGTCTACGAGGGGAGATAAAACTGTAACTGTACTGGCTTTGAGATTAGATTTGAGGGCAGACTGAAGGGTCGAAAGTGACACAGACAAGGCTGAGGATTGCATGCACACCTGCAAAAAAACATCACAGCTGTATCATTCAAATGCACGGCTCTGGTTGGTAAATAAGGTTTGACCTCGTGGTGGAGACATTCTGGATTAGACGCAGCAGCAGCAGCAGCAACAACAGTAGGACTCAGAGGGCAACCTGCAACTCCTGCGTGGAAAAGACACCCACCGCGTGAACGTGCTGTTGTATGCGTTTATGCTAATTAGACAGTTGTTCGTTTAGTTGGACTCGCGCACACCGCTGACAGAGTTGGAGAAACAAGCAGAGGCGACAAGTACTGGTGAGTATCTGCTATCAACAATAAGCACGTACTAAATATTAAATATGCTCTTTAAAATACTATTTCTTTCCGGTTAGTCCTGTTCACGTTCACGTCCACGTTCACAGCTTCCTTCATCAAATCCGCCTCCGCGTGCCGAGGTGTCCGCGTCGTCTGTTGCCGCTCTGTCACTTCTGCCAACTTTACCGACGTGATTCATTCAAGTAACGTTACTTTTAAATGATTTATTAAACGTGCTTAACCAGCTTTAATAATGGGCAGTTGACAGCGTGGCACGCGTTTTGTTGTGGCAGTGAGTCTCGTGGCTACACGCCCGCGAGGAAGTTTATAATCACAGATTTTGGGCCACGTTCGTTGACCTGAAGGATTTATTGATCTACCTGTATCTGCACGGGGAGTTAAGAGGTTTACTGTCCGGAATATATATCCGTTTTAATACCATTCGTGAAGTATATTTGCACTTTGATTTGTTTCAAGTACTAATGAAACGTGTACTAGTAGTGTACTTTTACATAGTGTGTATGTATCGGCACATGTAGGGTGACTCTGACACAATATATTGTATTAATGTGAGCTACCTCTTACATACAATATTTAAACCTAATACACACTGCATGTGTGTATAGTGTATTTGAATAACTTCACATTTGAAGCAGTGTGTTATAACACTTATGACACTAGAGCCTGACTGACAGCACAGATGCATTAGTAGAGGTTGTGTATGACATCCAAGAGGTTGCAGCATAGCAATGCCAAAGGCACAAACTGTCTGAGGTAATTTCCTTGAGATAGTTTTTTTCCATTAAACGGCACCGACAAGTTTATTTTTGTCACGGCTCAGAACAGGCTACACTTGGTCGCAATGCTTTCATAACCAAAGTGATGGGATCCTTATCAGAAAGGTGTGTTTATATTACGCAGGGCTGCTCCCTCTTAGTCGATAAGTTGACTAATCGGTTGTTTTGGTCTTCGTCGACTCAGATTGCTTTCGTCGATAAGTTGTTTTTCATGCTAAAACAAGAGATTTAAAGTGGTGCTATTGTGTGATTCTCTGTGGAGAAACTCTGTGTTACTGATCTGTCGATTAAATCAAATAATGAATGAATCGACAAAATGTGTGAGTGTTAGTCGACTTGTCATTGGATTTTTTTTTTTAAATCTGAAATATTGACAGTATCCAAATCCAGTGTTGATCAGGCAATTACCTGATAATTACCGCTGTGTTGTGGCCAATACCGGTACAGTAACTGTCAAAAATGAATAAGTAATTTACTTAACTAAATAAAGAAATAACTCAAACTGATTTATCGATAAGCAAAATAGTTTCATCAATCGCTCTAGGCTCTCCTCTGTATTGTGGTCTTGCAGGAGACGTGGTTTCCCTCATGTTTGGCTCAGGACCAGCGGCGAGGGGCAGTGACTGGAGGCTGTCCGTTAGCCGTTAGATGTACAGCGCTCAGATATAGACTCATGCTGCTGCGGTGCCTGGCTATTTTCACAGCAGTGAGTCAACAGCTTGTGGAGGACAGAGGAGCCCAGGCAACAACTGAGGCTTAGCTGTGTGTGTGTGTGTGTGTGTGTGTGTGTGTTTTAGTCACACAATACCATGTATAATCACAGGCTGGGCCTCACAAACACCTTGTAGTGACCTCTCGCCCACTGAGCATCAGAACTGCTTCTAGTTACATTTCTATTCAGGTTATAAAACCTATGAGCATCCTCTCTCTTTTAGTTGACTTTTTCTACACTAATGCAGAGGAAGAAAGCAGCCCTTAAACAAATACTGAGGCAACACACCCACATTGACAAATGGGAAGTTGCTCAATCGATTTTCATTTAGCAATAAACAGTAACTTCTTCTTCATAGTATCAGATTTTGGAAGTTGAATTTATTCAACAGTGTTCACAGCTCTGAATCCTGCAGAAACGCACGAGTATGTCTTACGCTTTAAGTATGTTGTAGCCGTGCCTGCGCCACAATATTTAATATTTTTGCCGTGAGCATTTGCATTCTGCAGCTCTGTGTTGCTGCTTTGGGTTATAGGTAATCTCCTTCAAAATCATTTTCGATATTTTTGTTAAAATTCTCATTACATCCTGAAGCAAAAAAAAAAAAAGAGAGAAAAATCTGGTGTCTGTTGCAGGACTGTAATAAGCCAGTAAGAGTGCTAACAATAGCCATGTTGGTTGTTTATATTCATAATTATATGTTTACGTTCATAATAATCATTTTCGGGGAGTGGCTTTGAAGAGAGGCCTGAAGGGGACGGGCTGTCAGTGTTGCCGACTTTCTTGCTAGATTCTCAAGATTACCAATCCTAGCTTTAATAGGCTCCTTTGCCTCAGAACAAACTTCCTACCTTAACTCCCAGCCGACGAGAAGATCATGCAGGATCGTTGAGCTGACTCAGTGCTGTGATAATTGTTTTGACAATAAAATACAAAGAACAATCTTTTATTATATTTTATTGATATTTCAAACATGCCGTAACCTGCAGTATAACTGCTATAATGTATTCTGAAGTCGGTTCATTTGCAAATTTTGACTCTTATTTGTTCTTCTTTGTTTAGCTGGAGAAACGTTGGCTCATCCAATCATTCGTTTGCACAGTGCACTTACTCAGTGCTTGTGTGGGACCATAGTCACCCGATGATGTCGTTGTATGAATCTGTGTGTCATCTGTAAGATATGTTGTTTTGCATGAACTGCGCCGGTGAGAGCACGTAGACATTAAACAGAGGAGGCCTGAGAAAGCCTTAAATGTTAAGTCCCTTGGAGTCGTTTTCTTTTCCAGAGTTCAGCCCTTATTGTGTTCGAGCTCCGTCACATGCTGAGTCAGTCCCAGAATACAACACGGTTCTTTTGTGCTGCTGTCCTCGGAGTTGCCAACATGAACGTAAAAGTCCCCAAAAATAACTACAGACAGCAGTTCATCAAAAAAAATCTATCAGCTTTAACTCTCTCTTAAATGACTTCTATTCGAGTGTTGTTTTGTGTTTCTTTTTAATTTGAGGCTCATACTATCTGTCATGTGGTTAATTAATGATAATAACAAAAAAACACTATCAGACAATAATAAGAATAAGATTCAAATCAGTGTTTTCTTCAACCCCTCGTCTTCAGTCTGGCGTCTGAAAACGCAGTGCAGCCCAGAAGCAGGATGGATGACCCACTTTCTGACTCAGTGTGAGTGTGTGTGTGTGTAGCGGCACACACACACACACACTCACGTACTGCTTTTGAAGCTTTCAGCAACAGCTTTTTCCATTGGCCCGAATCCCAGCTGAGCTGTGTTGAAGCATGTCGTCACACCCACAAAAACGGCACCTGTAAGACTGTCGCAAACACACTCGGGGAAGTACTGCAGATTGCAAGAGAGGAATGCAGCTCTGCTTCGATAAGAGACGGAGAGGAAAGAGAGGGGAACTGAACTTTTTGTCCCAAATGGACCTTAAGATATGTTCACGAGTTCATTATCGCAGTTTCAGCTTTGTGTGGTGTGCCGACTGTTTGAGCTTGACAAAGGAATTTAACAAAAGATAATCCAGATTGATGATTTGGAAAGAAATTGAATACTTTGAGATAAACCTTTCAACAGAAAACAAGTAAAGTGTGACGTCAAACCTTGTACATGAACAAAAACGTGCACCCACATTCACTCATGCACAGAAAATAGCTGGTACAGGCAGCACCCAGCAACCCTCCAACTCCTCCCTCCTAGTTTCCAGTAACACATCCAGGCCTGGACCCTCATGCACATATCTGCACAGCACACATGCGTGCACGGCATACCCCTTTCCTTTCTTGTGTGTGCGTGTGTGTGTGGCGCTCACACGGGGATTGGAGGTCGTGAGTATTTATAGACAAAGTGTCATAGTCCCGGTCACCTCAAGATGTGACAGCTGTGTGTGCTTGTGAATGTGCGTGTTAATGTTTGGCAGCAGAACGTGTGTTGACGACAGGTTTTATGCCTTCTTGTCCATCTGAATGTCTTTGTCTGTGCTCCTCTCATCTTTGCTGACAAGGTGTCACACATTTAGATATCTGACCTGATTGTTGTCTTCATTCTGGGAGAACGCTATGTACTTCCCCACGCTACCAGGCCTACTATGAAAAGAGATGTGGCTTAACTAACGGTGATATTTGTTTTTTGTCTCTGTTTGTAGTCCATCATGGCTGGCGATATGATGCTACTGATGCGAGGCTTGGCTAAGTTGGGCCAGGCGGTCGTGGAGACTCAGAGCAGCACCCTGCGCAGTGGAGCAGGTGAGTTCAACACACCTGTTGTTTGCAAGGAACCCATAAAAGAGGGAAGGATCATTATGTCACTGAACTCACACTGGTGCCACACTAATATTATTCTTTGTTATCATTAACTAACTTTTATATGCCTCCATAGAGAGGCAAAGGCCCATCTCTCCCCGTGTCCCTTATGGGACCGTACTTTGGAAGAATATGAATCGTAGTTGGCAAGAGACAAATATTTTTGATCCCGTTTTAATTGTGTCTTGAGTTACACATATGATATTTGTCAATTAAAAAGATCATTTGGCAACACAAGAAAGTCGCACTTTATAACGGGACCATTTGATTTAGCGTGAAACCGCCCTGCACCTTTCATGTACGTCTCTCAATGTACGACACCAGCATGGACGTCACCGTGGCTTCCTGGCTAGCTAGGTAACTTAGCAATGTTCCACGCACACATGTAAAGTTATCTTACCTGGTGTTTTTTATCCAGCAGCTTTTTTTAATCAGCCGGGAAATTATCTTTTGAAATTGACAAACATCTTAATTCATGGCACAATTCAAATAGGACAAAAACAATTATAATTCTCACTCCTAGTGTGCATATGATTTACTTGACTTTTTTTTTTTTTCTTTTATAGGTTTCCCGCATGTTTAGTTCCTAAATTTGACTCTGACATGCACAAAACAATTCTCAGTGTACTGCATTAAGATATTTAACTGACTTGCTCATTAGCTCACATAATGACAGGCTAGCTTGTGATTAGCTTTACACATAAAGTTTAAATAAAAAAGTGTTTAGTTTTTGAAAAGGAGTGGTAACTGCATTAAAACATTTAGGTTAGCTAGCTTGCTAACTCCAATACAATACCCTCCAATATGTATGTAATATGTATGTAATCCAAATCCAAATCTGCTGTATGGTTAGTTTGTAGTGTACCGAAGAACTAATAATAGTATTTTTTTGTTAATTGTAACCCAGGGCTCTCAGGAGTTGGCGCTGCAGTCCAAAGTGTCCAATCGGCTGCTGAGCAAAGCCTCTCTGCCGCCATGATGACAATGCAGGTGTGTGCATTACTACTGTGCAAATCGGCTGCAAAGTTTAGCAAAAGACGACTACGAGTACGTTTTCTTTTTGTAAGAGTCTTCATGTTTATGTGTCTGTCCAGGCGCTGACTGGCCAGCAGCAGACGTCCTTATCAGAGTCTGAATATGACTTCCCCGAGGACGACGGTGTGTTCGCAGCTTCAGAGTTCAAGGAGGAAGATGTGGACTTCGCAGTGGATCAAACAGGAAGTGGTGATGATTTTGCAGCAGCAGGAGCGAGCCATGTTGGCGGCAAACAGTCGCTGTTTGAGGGATATAAAGATCCCAGCAAACAGTTCAGTGGACACACCAGATCTTACCACCAAGATACCAGGTAGGAATAGTCTCAGTTGCACTCAAGGGGTTTACACGTTTGTGCTGCTGTTTGGAGAATAAATGTAAATCACTTTTTGCTTTGGGTGTGGCAGACACTTCTACAACCACAGTCTGAACAGGCATTTGTGGGGACATCACGTCAGTCAGCTCAGGAGCTACCATCAGGACCCGACCACAGTGGGAGGACTCACCACCGAAGACATTGAGAAAGCACGACAGGGCAAGAAGGTTGAGATCAAATCACACAAACAGATGGTAAGTCTTGTTCCTATATTCTTAATCACAAACACACATTGATGTGAATGGAAAGGTGTCTTTACTGGTCTTTCTTCTTCAGTTGAGCGAGAGAGCCAGAGAGAGGAAAGTGCCAGTGACTCGGCTCAGCAGACTGGCCAACTTTGGAGGTTTGGAAGTTACACCACTCTTTGTTACTCTGTCTGAATAATGGCTGATTCATTGGCTGGTCTGACTGTGTGTCTAGGTGCACGTCTGCATCCGTGGATACATACAGTTGAGTCTGTGCAGTCATTAAAATAATGATATTAGTATATAGAGAAGAGTCTGCATGGGACTAATCACTAAATTAATATTTGTAGGGTGCGAAATACTCGGAGGCAATTGGGGGTCCCGTCCAAGATTTAAAAAGAGATTTTCATGACTTTTTTTTTTGCAAGTGACAAAAAAATGTCTTATGATTTTAGAGACCCCCGAAATGTTGCTATTGACTCTTTCAGGCGGTCCTCCCGTATTTTACCCACTGAATATTTGTTAAATGATGTGGCTTCTCTCTAGTTAGTTAGCTACAATAAAAGAAATAGTTTGTGCTCGTAACGTGACATGAATTTGTTGGTGAAGTTCTGGAAACGTATCCTTGTAATCTAGTCTAGCTGTAACCTACCACCTCCTCAACGAGCTGGGATCACTGAGTTCAGGGCAGTCGGTGTTGTGTCAGCAGCACACGAACTTCTCAAAGTCTGTACAGTCAATAATGTCAAGACAACACCACTGAATGTACAGGCATATTTAAATGGCAACAACATGGAGCTCACAGGAAATAAGACAAAACATAACATGCAGGAATGTCATTACAGCACCTCAAAGCATACATGCACCTTTGGATTTTAATGACCCGATGACCTCCCCTCTAGCACCAACTACCAGCTCTGACACATAATACCTATAATACTGTAAACATAATTTGCTGAGTAAATTCATGCGTCCCACAGAAAGGTAACATGAAACTGGACTCAGTTGAACAAACACTTATAGTAATTAGGTCAAGCATATGGAGCCCTTATTAATGGTCATTGCCGAAATAAACGCCTCGATAGTCAACAGAAAGAGAGTGCAGCAGCAGCTGCAGTAAAATCTGTGTGAGTTTGCGCTGCATATTGTTGTGTGTTAGTTAAGCTTCTGTTTGACCATGTTGCCTGTTCTCTAAGCCTATTAGCTGTGACACAACACACAAACATGACTGCCAACTCAAAATAAAAGCATATCTAAAAACCAGAGATTTAAACACTTTAAAATAAACAAATTCCAAATAGTAATTAAGAATTGAAGCAGTTGTAAACATTGCTGACAAGCTGAAAGGTTGTACTTACTGTTCAGGGCATGCGTTTTATTATTATTTATGGTCTTATTTATGTGTCTACCACTGCTGAAAAATATTGAATCTAATATTGAAATGTTTGCAGATGAAGGCGAGTACAGAGATCTGGGTCTCCTTGTCTCAAAGTCATATCTAGACAGGATGTGATTTCAGTGATAAGCTTGTTCAAAGGCTAAAACACTCATTCACACGAGCACGTTGAAAATCTCACAAGCAGCCGCGGACATAGTTTGGCGTGACGGATCAGAGCTTGTAAATCAGCAGCTCGTTGCTTCACTTCAGGCAGGTGATGGAAAGGTTAACAGGTGGCTCAGATTGTTGTACAGAGGAGCTAAAAGCAAAGGGACCAGGGTAAACAAACCATGTCAACCCAGAACAGAGTCTCTCGGTGAGTCGGACCGGACTGCCAGCACAAATAACACGCAGCAGAATTTAGCCGCGGCTCATTCCAAACCTACGTGACTTACACGATCTACAATGAGACGAGTCGAGTTGATTCGGCATGTTGACAGTGGTAACATTTAGAAGGTGTCGTGGGGGGGATTTTGGCCTCTGTCTGTCCTTCACTCTCCTGCAGTATTTGTTGACCAAGTTATACAAGTTGTTTGACTCACAGCTTACGAGCGAGTGGAGATAGTGAATGCAGGTTTTAGGCAGTTTAGGTGTGAGAACAAGCTGCACAGTGATTTATAGAATCATAAGCCTGTTTGCATGTTTCATGGCAACAGCGATTATTACAACAACAAAAAAATTACCTAAGGCTGACTGAGCTTCGGACGAGCCCCCATTATGTTACGACTGGCTTGGAAGTCGCAACATAAGGACGGACACCACATCAAGTTAGATTCAAAAACCACAGCTGCCAGTTTGTTACAGGACACAAATAAACTGTAATGTGCCAATCTAACTGAAGACCAGGGTCTGGTGCAGGCAGATGAGAGAGAGCGAGGGCGGAGCAAGGAGGGACTTATATAAGTAAAACCCACACCTTCATCCAGGTGCCCTCAATCACTCATCAGGGAGCTGCACCTAGAACATAAAGACATAGAATACACACATAGGTACACACAAGCACAAACATTCACCTGCTTAGACGTCTCCATCTGTTGTATAACGCCATGTTTGAAAGGTTTTGCTGAGGTTTTTGAAACGGGAATATATATTTTTATGTTTTTTTCTGGTTCCGAATGTCAAATGAGGGAACAGAAATCATCTGCAGCTTGTTTAAAATTCTGCAGCTGGAATTTTAACTGTTTAAACGTAGAGAGCATGTATGTAAAGCACTCTATAAACATCGTTTTTAGAAAACTGCGATGTAAATAAAGGTTATTATTTTCCTTTTAAGCTTGTAAGTAGTGCACAGCAGTCCGTCTGTAAACACACACAAAGAGTAAGATGACACTGTCAGGTTACACGAGGTAGATTTGTCAGAAATTGTGATGCACAATATAATTCTCTCTGGTCCGACTTGTCCGCAACAATAGAAGAGATTTCACACGTTTGACCGGAGAAAAAATGCTCGGTCCACTTGTAAACAAGGCACTGAAGCAGGCTCTGTCCTGATTCGTCCATCCACTGTTCTTCGGATCTCTGATTTGTTGCCTCAGAGAACGCTGACTAAACGATTATGTAATGCTGAGTTATGTAAGGTAGAGACCAGGCTTTGGAGGAACTGGCTCACAAACAGTCCAACCATGACTCGCTTGCTTTTCCTTTCCATCATCTGCTAAGATAACCCTGTAACTTCTTCAGAGGATTAAGTATTTTAAGAGTTTAATTGTTCATATATTTAGATTTCCATGTGCTCTGGTGGGTTGGCAGAAGTGCAGCTGTTACAGTTCTGTCATTGCACTCTGCCGAGTTAATTTAGGGCTTATCTGCCGACATATTGTTTGTCTCATATGTTCTGTTTCACATTTTATTATGATGAGAATAACATTCCTTAGAGTCAACACTGGTGACTAAGTTTTACATTTATCTGTTAAGTTATGACATTGTGGTGTTGTCTGTCTGTCTGTCTGTGTCTCCACCAGGTCTAGCTGTAGGTTTGGGGATTGGAGCACTGGCAGAAGTTGCCAAGAAGACCATGAGACAAAATGGTACAGCAGGTAACACTAACAAACCCACTAACACACCCACACTTGCTCACACAGCATCAATAGGGAGCCTCTGTACCAAACAGCTAAGTTATCTGTGCAGGATTTAAATGATCTAATAGAGTACACGTCTGAGAGTTCTGTGCCTGTAAGGACAGGTATTTCTGTTTATTGTGCGATTTTACAACTGCATTCCGGTAAAAGCTTGCATCATTTTTTCAATACCCATATTTTACGCATGCTGCTACATACTACACACGTTTTGCATAACAGCAGAGCACAATTAGCAATTCAGCCGCCTCTCACAGCAACCTCCCACCAAAACAAACACTCCTGCTCCGCACAGTGAACCTGCTAATGTCAAAACAGAGCTAAACTGAAACAGCGTACGAGAGTAAATATGTGGCATTTGTGCGCCTGTTTGTGGGCGTTTATCTGTGTGTGTGTGTGTGTGTGTGTGAGAGTTAATCCTAGCAGGGAGGCTATGAACTCCTGTAAGTGTGTGTGTGTGYGTGTGTGTGTGTGTGTGTGTGTGTGTGTGTGTGTGTGTGTGGTAAATCTCTGCAAAAGCCTCTCAAGGGAGCTTCAGACGCACTAAAACTTACTAACCGGTGACCTACTGACGCACATACTCACAGACACATGCGCATATTGTATATAAACCTTTAAACTATTGATATTGATCAATCTAAATGACTTCACCTGAGCACAAACTAAAAGTGTTACATAGTTACAGTAATTGCATAAAAATGTGGCTCCACACTTTGACTTTAGTCTTGACACACTGGTGTAAAAGGAGGCATAGAACCAACACCCTCTCTGTTCTGTGCCACTGCAGGTGACAATAAGAAAGGCGTCCTGGACTCCAGCCCCTTCCTGTCCGAGGCCAACGCCGAACGCATCGTCAGAACCCTGTGTAAAGTCAGAGGAGCAGCGTTAAAGCTGGGACAGATGCTCAGCATTCAAGGTGAGCGAGAGTTATTTACGACTGGCGGCTTTGACGCACAGATGTCGTGGAGTTTCGGGGGAGCTGACAGTTTTTCTATTCGCTCTGTCAGAGTTGTGACATTGACCCGTTGCTGCACACAGACAACAAACATGCAGGTAGCAGCGGCTGAGAATAAGTTGTAATGTAATTTGTAAGCTGGTTTGTTATTCGCACACGTAAGCCAAAGTTCAAGGGCAGAAAGCCAGCGTCGGTAAACACGCTGGTGCGGCCGGATCAGGTAACGGGACTAAACGACACATCATTAAATTTGTTTATCGCGGTTTTCCTCACTGCCTGATTTTGGCTGCCGACCTTTTGTCTTTTGCCAGTGGAGGTCAGAACATGTTAGCGTATACTTCACACACACGGTTCAGTGTAGAAAAATTAAAAAGCAACAAAAACAGTAGGAGGAGAGAAAAGGACGCTGGCTGCCCAGTGTTTGCTAAACAGTTTTCAGCACAGTGGGTTGACCTTGTGTGTGGTTATTTGCTGAACGGCCATAGCTTTACTCCATCTCTAAGGCGGTTACAAGTTCAGTCTTCAAACTAAAATGATTGATCGGAAAATGGACAGAAAGGTCAGTCTTCTCCTACAGACAGGATGTAAAAAGACTTCAAAGTCTTTACAGTTAACTTTGAACAGTAAAACATGACTGGAATCAGTAAATCTGCAGGAAAAATGCTGACACTGACTGGTATTTATCAGTCAGAGCAGGAATGCAGATGATTATGCTTCCAGCCATTGTACCCTTTACCACCGATCCAAGATACCGTTCACCTTGAGAGGTCAGAAGCTATTTTAAAACTAATAATAAAGTTTGTAATACTGATTACTCATATCATCAGCAATGTCAGCCAAATTATTCGTTCTAGTTGCCAAGCAGTGTTTTCTTTTCCTTTATTGTGATTAAGTTTTCTTGATTGAAAGTAAACCTGGGATCTCAGTGATTCCCCTTGGCTCAGTACGATTCTTCAGCTTACGCTGTCGAGTGCGGTTTAACACAAGTCAGTTGAACAATGAAGTTGTAGGTGGGAAAATGCACAGACCGTCGGTATTGTTTTATTAAAGCTATGAACCCATATTCACGGTGTGCCTTATGTCTTGTACTGCAGCTTTCCGGGCATCTCAAAGCAACGAACCACACCTGGAGTACAAATGCTGCCATAGTGTAGCCGTAGTTGACGGCAGCGTTACAGGCTTTAGGGAAACATCAATTTGTTGTCAGTTCAGCCGGCCTTTGCCTCGGGACCTGCATGTCGGTCCAGTTCAGAACTCAGTTGTGTTTGTGTATTTCAGATGATGCATTCATCAACCCTCAACTCGCCAAGATCTTTGAGCGCGTAAGACAGAGTGCTGACTTCATGCCAATCAAGCAAATGACAGTAAGTGTCTTCGTCTTCTTCTTGTTCTTTTTATTTTGTATTAACTGGTAATTATAATTGGATGGATTGGAATCGGCTGTAACACATTGTAACTGATGATGTAATAAGTATAGCAATATAAATTCTACCTTGAGCACCTTTCCCACAGCCTCTTGAAGGCGGGACTGTTGTTATTCAGCCTCGCTGTTTGGTATGAAAGCTACAACGTCTGTGTGTTGACAGCCGGCACAGCGGAACCGGTGTGATGTTTAAATGACGTGTTATTTATTGCCTAACTGCTGGGAGATTTAAAAATAAAGAAATTGCTGATCTTCTTCACAGCAGTATTGCAGAATCTCTATGTGAAAGTTGCTTCTTATAGTATAACATTTTTATTATTATAAATATCATCAAGCCCGCTGTGAACTCACCTTTAACCCCACCAGGGATAAAATTATTAGTGATAAATTCTAAATATTGTGTCCATCTGCAGAACGCGCTGAACAGCGACTTGGGTCCTAACTGGAGAGACAAGCTGGAATCGTTCGAGGAGCGTCCGTTTGCAGCAGCGTCCATCGGCCAAGTTCACCTGGCGAAGATGAAGGACGGCAGGGAGGTGGCCATGAAAATACAGGTACACTGTGAACATGTGTGTGTGTGTGTGTGTGTGTGAACACAGAACATTCTCATGTTGTTAAAAGTGGAACTGGAGAGTTTATCTCACACAGAATCTGATCTCCGGTCTGTTTACAGACTTTGTTTTCAGATCAGACCTGAGTCAGTGAGAAAGAGTCAAAACTAGAAACATCTCAGATTGTTATTTTATGCATTTACAGTATTTACAGATTATCCGTCTAATTGCCGTCTTCAATGTTTAAAATAAATGCTTTTAGAATTCATGAAGGATTCAACAGTAAAATTACAAATAATTATTTTAATCTCATGATAGAGAATAATTTCAATCGCTGTGAAAACTGTGGTTGCATTACACTATAAAGATGCATTAACAGTATTTCAAAGTGGGATTTTGAATATCAAGACCACATAAAAGATGGCGTTCCCTCATTTAATGATCAAATTACATTTTCTCTTTGTTCCCAGTACCCCGGTGTGGCTCAGAGTATCAACAGTGACGTCAACAACTTGATGACGGTGCTGAGAATTAGCAATGCCCTGCCTGAAGGTGAAACTCTCCGTCATACGAACACAAGCATGCTCCCCTTCTCAGTCATGCACAACTTCACTCTTCGTTTCTCCATCTGTAATCGTGTGCACTGTATCCCACTGTGTGTGTTGTCTGTGTCTCTCTGTAGGTCTGTTTCCGGAGCACCTGATAGACGTGATGAGAAAAGAGCTAGCGCTGGAGTGCGACTATATCCGAGAGGCCCAGTGTGCAACGAAATTCAAGTGAGTCTTACGTCGGATGTGTTTCAGTGTAATTGACAAAGCCCCCAGAAAACCACAACATACATGTTTATAATCATTCAGTTGTAACCGGTGGAAAGTTGATTACTTACACTTTATTATGTTAATAATCAGAGAAAAATACCTAGAATTAAAATGTAAAATGTGTAGGGAGATGCGATTACAATGTGATACTGGTTGTGCTAATTAAAATACTAGTTTAAGGATTAGAAAAATGTAATATCCAAATTCAAGCTTATTAAAAATTGATAAAGGCCAGTTTGTAGCTTGTTTTTGTTGTTGTGCCAGGAATAAATGTATTACAAACCCCTTAAACGCATGGTCAACTGTATCTCTGTTACAACCCTGGCTTGTTTAGACTCTAGCACCATTGCTGCAATGACTGCAATGTGCCGTCTCTCTCTCATGGAGCGCACAGCAGTAGAAAGACTCATGTTACACATACACACCTCTCTGGTTCAAGGTTATCAGAACCACTGAAACTGCCAGCCAGCTATATATATATATATATATATATATATATATAATATATATGGACTACAGGCCGACTTAACCTGGATTTATGTCTTTGTATCTAATCCTCGTTCTGACTCAGGGAGATATTGAAGGACCATCCGTTCTTCTATGTACCAGAGGTGATAGAGGAGCTGTCCGGAAGCCATGTCCTGACCACAGAGCTTGTCCCCGGGTTTCCCCTCGACCAGGCCGCGGGCCTCGCACAGGACCTGAAGAACGAGGTACAGCCGACAAACCAGCCGATAGATGCTCAGCTGACTGCATTTGAACGCATTTAGTTAAAGTGTTCAGAGGGGTGGATGTGTGTGTTTGTGGGAAACGGGACTAGTTTCTTTCTGATCAATAAATGCATAGATTGAATGGGTCTCTGTCCTTTTACCATGCTTTCTCCCCTTCTCCTTTCCTTCCCACAAGTCCCCGCTGTCCAAACCCCATTACATTCACTCTCTTTCATAGTTGACCTCAGTGCAGTGAACTTCTTCCACATGTTTTTTTCCCGTCTCAGATCTGTCACAACATCTTGCTCCTGTGCCTCAGAGAGCTGTTTGAGTTCAGGTTCATGCAGACTGACCCAAACTGGTCCAACTTCTTCTACGATCCGCAGACGCACAGGGTGAGTCTGTCTGCAGGCTGAAAGCAGCTGTTACTTGGCAGTAGAGATTTAGGAGCAATGAAAGTTGATCATTGGATTGTCTCTCTAGGTGGCGCTGTTGGACTTTGGAGCCACGAGAGGATTCGATCAGAGTTTCACAGATGAATACATCGAGGTAAGTCAGTCATTTATTTTATTTCTAACAGTAATTTATAGACAGGATCATATTTCTTGATCAACTCAAAGCTTCAGTTACTTTAACTCACCTGCTGTTTACACACTTGTTGCACCCCTACTGCTTTTGTTTAGGTTTTGATTTTTTTTGAAACATCAAGTGGAAACAAAGCTGACATTTGTACTGTGGTTTAACGTCCAGTGCCAAGTCGGTACTGAAAATACCTCAATTATACAGATTTTGTTGCCATGCGTGAGCTGTTAAAACATGTCTCAGAGATGCAGAGAAAGAAGTGATGGCGGTAACAGTCTTAATCCTGGTTGTAGATAATCCGTTCAGCCTCTGAGGGCGACAGAGAGGGAGTTCTGAAGAAATCCATCGATATGAAGTTCCTGACCGGATACGAGACCAAGGTAAATATCTCTTGATCTGTCTACTCGACATGAAAAGTATAAAGTGTAAATTTGTTCATGCAGCAAATATTCCTTTTTTTGTTTGTAAAAGTGCCCCATTAACTGTGCAGGATGGTCATTGGCTGAGACTAAATCTGTGGTGTGTTTTTTTTCCTCTCTGTATCCAGGCAATGATGAGCGCCCACGTGGACGCAGTGATGATCCTCGGCGAGGCCTTTGCCTCCACAGGCAACTTCGAATTTGGCTCCCAGTCCACCACGGAGAGGATCCACAACCTCATCCCTGTGATGCTCAAACACCGGCTCACCCCGCCTCCCGAGGAGACGTACTCGCTCCACCGCAAGATGGGCGGCTCATTCCTCATCTGCGCCCGGCTGGACGCACAGCTGCAGTGCAAGGACATGTTCCACACGGCGTATCAGAAGTACTGGGAGGGCCGCACGCCTCCCTCTCACTCAGCCTGAGTCCATCCCGAGTGTCAGGCGATCTGGCGATTTGACGGACAGATCCTGGGGCCAACGGAAAAGGGGCAAGTCAGCGGCAAGGTCGTGGTGTGATGACGCACAACTGCAGAGCGGAGGCCATGTTACCCGCACTGAACTGGTCAGCCAGCAGCAGCTTATCCTTCCCCCTTTCGGCAACCCACTACCATGAGCTTTTGACAGGCACTTATCCGTAATTACAGCCATCATTTCTTTGTTTGAGAAGGGAACACGGCGTCTGGAGAGCTTTAAGACCAAACTCTATATATGGCCCTGAGAGCACAGAGACGGCTTGAGGTGGATGGAAGGAGAGAGACGAACAGCCTTGCGTCGAGGTGTAAAATGAATGTAAACAGGTTGGAATTTGATCTCTTTTCTGATGATTTATGCGTTTTTGCTTTGCTGTGTTTAGTTGAACTTTTTGGAAGTGCCAGAAAATTCATGGGTGAAAACATGAAACATTGATTGTATTGAGGAAGAGGACTGAACTCTAAATATAAAGCCGCAGTCATATGGTCAGTGTGAGGCACAGCATTGGCCAGGACCAACATAAGTGGGAAGTTTGATTAGATTGGATACCAATCATGTTGCTTAGTCTAAATGTAGACAGCTCAATAAATGGGACAGTTTTGATGAGAGCAAAATTATTTGTCAAGATGTTGCTCAGTTTAGGTTGATTTATTCATTTGTATGAAATGTGAAAAACTGGAATTTTTCAGCATTCACACACAAGAAAGGCTGACTTTTAACTTGTGTATTTCCTGTATCAGTGTATCCATTCAGATTTCTGTTTTATGACTTTTAGGTTTTTAGGGAGACATTCTGTGGGCAGCAAGTTGATTCAAACTATCAGTCTGTTTCAAGTGACCATGAACCTCGGGTTAAAGAGTGATATTACTAAGTTTGTGTCTAAAAAATCATGTGATAAAAAATCGATATAGAGAATCTGCTGTAGATTTTTATTCTTTATGTCACATCTGATGTTTTGTCCATATGGGGCAGATTTAACTTGTGAATTCCAGTTGATTACCAACGTGTTGGCATAAAGGCTCAGAGTTTTATTTCAGATTCCGTTTTCTTTTGTTTAGTTCCAAAGCATTTATCTCTAAAAATATGGAGGTGAAACCATATTAATCCATGTTGCTCACTGTAAGAAAGACGAGCACATCAACCTGTGCTTATTCATGAATGTTAATGAACTGTCGAGATGGAAGAAGCTCATCGTGATATCGCACGAGCTCAGCTCGTGGGCTCACCTGGCTTCCACAAGTCGGTAATCTCTCCACACATCGGGTGTGAAATCCTCCGTCACCTGGCTGATGTGCGGCTGTGAAACTTCTCTCTACTCTGCAGTGTGAACACAGTTATCACAGTCTCTTGTGTGAAGATGAAAAAATGGGAGGGGGGGGGGGATAAGACAAGGTGCCTGTAGTCTTTATATTCCATATCAAGAGAAGACGGTTTAAAATGTTCTAATCAAACTAAAAGTTGTGATAAAGACATTGAATGAAAATAATAAATGTTTGATCTACTTGTCATGTGGCTCTGTGTGCTCTTTTGTCTGTATGATATTAATACTTTCAAACTATTTAAAAGAACTGCCGCCCTTCAAAGAAACATTAAATAGTGCGTCAGTTGAGTTGATAAAACATAGATCTCAGTGTAAATACAGCCCAGATTGTGTTCATGTATCCTCTACTGGAGGTTAAGAGGTTGTAATGTGTGTTTGGAAGAGATAAAAACAGAAAATACAGTAGAGAGAGATTGTCTTCCTTATTTAGCAATGTCTGGGCCAGCAACGGGGAACTGGCAGAGAGCCTGGGAAATAAGAACACACACACACACACATAAATATTCACAAAATATACACATGCATGTAAATATCCAGGCACATTAATCACGCCAGTATCACATGAAAGTGGGTGGTTAAGAGTGAGGGCATGTCCCGCCAAACCCTTTCCCTCTCTGAATCACCCTCAGCTACGATACTTCTTGCATGTTCACACTTTTTCCCAAAAACTGTTGTCTTTCAGTGCCACAGTCTGTTGTAGTTCACCTCAGTGTCCAGCCCGCGGCGCTGATGCGTTTCCACGTAGCGACTAACCGAATAAAAGCTCCATCAGTTCCTGAAATACTGACATCAGCCCAATAAACGAGCAAAACATAACCAGCCTGAGGCCAGCCAGGCAATTATATGAAGCTGGGTGTAAGAGTGTAATCTCTGCTTTATTAAACAATATCCTGTAAGCAGAGGTGGGAGTGGGAAATGATTGCACAAAGCAGCAGCGGTCATTAGATGCTCGTAGACTACTATATAATATTGATAGCACTGCGTCTAAATAATCGGAGCCTCATGAGAGGATGATAGAACTACATACTTGAGGCAGAATATGCTAATCACAGAATGCTCTCATTTTGTGGTCGCCAACCTGATAATCTACAGCGTTAACTAAGTATATTTTTCTCTGCAAGGATTTCATATTCTTATGGAAGCATAAGCTTGCCAAGAGATTCATGCAATTTCATTAGTTCCAGTCAAATACCATCTACTGTTTTCCCAGAATACATAGTTCTAAAACTGTTTTCTAGAGGCCACATTTGACTCCCGTGCAGGTCTCTGCAGTCAGAGAATCTGAACCATGAGGTCAGGACCCGAGATAGTTTAAAAGCCACTGTGTTGTAAATATATTGTGATTAGAATGGGTTGTATCGAGGCGGGGATGTCGACTGCAGTTTGGGTGGAAACGCTTTTCAAAAGCAGTGTTGTCGCTGCGTTACATCTCGATGACCTGAATGTGTTTTGACGTTGCAGCTTGCTGAGCTGAGATGGAAACCACTCACCACTGGGTGTGTTTACACTATAAGAGAGGAGTGTGAGGGGGGAATGTTGTGCACCTAGTTGTCTGGTCAGAAAGAGCAAGCAGAGAGAAATCCTTATTTGGTGAGAGGAGGCCACTCAGCAAGTCTGGGCACAATCTTTAAAGGCAAACACTCTCACAACTCTAACTTTAGCAGTTTTCTTCTGTGTGATTTGTGTGTTTTTAATCCTCATCACCAGCATCCCTGGGCAGATGGTTATTGAGACTATTTCCACAATTGCCATGGAAACTGATTTTATACAGTTTTGATGTGGAGTAACCAAGAAATGCACTTCAGAGCTAATTCTGATCAACTCCCTTCCCAACTGTAAGACAGCCGAACAAGGGCGGCACTCAGCTGAACTGTGGAATTAACCAACTAATAATTACTAACTAGAGATTACTATGACCTGCTGTGTAACAAAGATAAATACTGAATCAATTATATGTTATTAATGTTTGCGTTCACGGGGCCGGAGCCACTTCAAGCACAATCAAATTAAGGACCACATAGAGGTTGTGGTTATAATGAGATCTATTGTACCTCGGCATTGTTAATTTTTGTTTTGCATCTTTCTTAATTAATGGTTTTAAAATTCCACTAAAGGAGCTAAGTGACACACCCGCCATGTTCGTGACCTGAACAGTAGGAGCAGGCTACTCCTAGCTAACATGCTAAAATGCTAACATGCCCTGGAGGAGCATCCTGCGGTGATTTCTGTGTTCACGGAATCATTTTTACGTGAGGCCGAGTGTACTGGGACAGAGGGACCGAGTGGACTGGTTGTAGTGGGACACGGACCGAGTGGACTGGTTGTAGTGGGATAGAGGGACCGAGTGGACTGGTTGTAGTGGAATAGAGGGACTGAGAGGAGTGGTTGTAGTGGGATAGAGGGACCGAGTGGACTGGTTGTAGTGGGACACGGACCGAGTGGACTGGTTGTAGTGGGATAGAGGGACCGAGAGGACTGGTTGTAGTGGAATAGAGGGACTGAGAGGAGTGGTTGTAGTGGAATAGAGGGACCGAGTGGACTGGTTGTAGTGGGACACGGACCGAGTGGACTGGTTGTAGTGGGATAGAGGGACCGAGAAGAGTGGTTGTAGTGGGATAGAGGAACCGAGAGGAGTGGTTGTAGTTGGACACGGACCAAGTGGACTGGTTGAGGTGGGATAGAGGGACTGAGAGGAGTGGTTGTAGTGGGATAGAGGGACCGAGAGGACTGGTTGTAGTGGGATAGAGGGACCGAGAGGAGTGGTTGTAGTGGGATAGAGGGACCGAGAGGAGTGGTTGTAGTGGGATAGAGGGACCGAGAGGAGTGGTTGTAGTGGGATAGAGGGACCGAGAGGAGTGGTTGTAGTGGGATAGAGGGACCGAGTGGACTGGTTGTAGTGGGATAGAGGGACCGAGTGGACTGGTTGTAGTGGGAC